ACTTCGGAGTGTAAGGGCAAAAAGGGCATGTGCTCTGCACAGGTTGAGCCCTACCTGTGCACGTACCTGGATCTTAGTGATCTTTAACTACCATTCAGAAAATAATGAATGTCCTGATGTTTGGTACATTAGTCTGAATGGGTCTTTAAAGGGGTCATCAGATGCGACATGCACTTTTACAAGCTGTTTGAACTGAAATGTGTGTTGGCAGTGTAGGGTTGTGCAAAAAATCGAATGCGATTTTCATGCGCATCTCGTCAGTATAGCTGCTTCTGGTGATTAGTAGTAAATCTCCAGCACGTGCTTTCAGATGGAGCGGCATTTACTACACAGAGCCGTAGATCACTGACAAACTACACAAAATCTGTAAAATACTGACGAGATTCGCATGAAAATCGCATTCGATTTTTTGCCCAGCCCTATGGCAGTGTGTGTACACAACCACCCTATTGATAAAGATCCACCCAGTGTTTTTTTTTATCTCATTAAATCATTTCCCCTTTCTCAAATCTAGCTGATCTCAGATGACGTCACACAGACAGGCCCCTCCCACAATTGTTTGATTTACACTAGCGGTTCAGCAAAGACTGGACTGGTGTCTTACCTTAGACCCGGGCTGAGTGAGCTGTCATCAGTCCACCATTACTTCACCGCCGGAGCAGATGTAGGCACGAATGTCTCCTAAGCGATTGAGGTGTTCTGTTGTTTGATGTAATAATGAACAGCAGTCGTCATTTGCTCCCAACATCTGAGCCGCTGAAGACGCAGTGGATTACATTTGTTTCTGAAGGGAATCCGCCCCAGATCTACCTAAATGCGTCTATCTTCGTGCGAATCAAATCGCCTTTCCTAATAACGTGCTAGTTAGCAAGTTTCATGATGAATGCGGCTAAAGTTTACCGTCTCTCAGAGAGCAGCTCGGAAGTGAGGGGCGAGGCGAGCAGAGCTCATTTGCATTTAAAGCAGCATGCAAGAAAACAGCTTGCTCTGAAAAGATCTGTTTTTGACGGGGTAAAAACGGTGTTGTTTTACACTACCATTTAGAAATTTTAACCAAACTACACATACTTTTCATTAAGACCCTAAAGAATCGTATCAACTTGTGGAAAATTGGCATCCGATGACCCCTTTAAAGAAATTAGAGCCTTTCATAATATATTAACAATTTTGAGCCTGAAGGTATGGTGAGCTGGAAAATGAGTTGGCAGCCCAGATTATACTTTTATGTGAACATCATATACAGCACCAGGGAAGCGCTCTGAAGCAATTTAATGTTGTAAGAAAATGTTGGGCCTAAGCGAAATTATTGGCTTCAACTAAAAACTCTATGTTAGCATCCACTGTGAGAGAACAAAAGAAATTTCAATCGAGCAATTTCAGTGCATTTGGTTTTGTGAAGAGAACAAGGGTGCAAACTAAAAACAAACGAACAAAAAAACCCAAAACAAACAAACTCAGAAGCACACATATCCCAGCATACATTTGATTTTAGGATTTATAGTTACAGATTTATTAAACACATTGCCAAACATATTTTCAGTCCTTTTTTTAAGCTTAGGATTTAAAACAGATTTATTTTTATTTTTTTACTGTAAAGAGTCTTGTAAGGGCTTAGTAGCGAAAAGGGGAAAATATAAGTTAATCTTTAATGAAAATAAATAAATAAAGCAAACCTAAAAAATTACACTCAAGAGACAGCGTGGTATTTATTACTTTATTTATTGCTATGTGCTCCCAATACAACAAACAGCCTCAGTAGTGTACACTTCCATTACAACTAACAAAAGTACAAATTAAAACAAAAAGAAATGACCGCAAGCGGTTAGCAACTGAAAGTGTCTTTGTAAGCCAGAACAAAAATTAACACTTGGAATAGTGAGGATAAACACGCTTTATCCTTTATGTTGGGTGTCTGTCTGTGGCTTAGGGATTGTCAATTTAACCTCAACTATCTCGCATTCCTTAGGGTCTCCGAAAGCTTGTCGATAATATTAGCAACAAATTGTTTATTATCAGAAAGTGAACAACGATAAAATTAAAGCTTTTTTTTGTGATGCACACACCGTTCACCTTAGCTTTCATCGGATGAATGATGTTCAAAGACAACTGCTACTGATCTGTATGCAGATATGGCTATTGTCTAATCTAGAGAATCAAAATATATCACTATAATTTTGTCTTTTTTCTGTTAAAGCTACAAATTAACTGTAAAAGCAGTTTTGTGCAGGATTAGGGGATTTGTGGGTAAAGGACAAATGAATCACTGTAAATGACAGCTTTGTTTAAGATTTTCTCTACAATATTTCTATTCTAAAATGGCTGTGAAACAGCTTTCCCTTATTATAACATCTCAAAAGCTGAGCATATGTCTTATTTTATCTAAAAAGGCAGTTAAAACAACAACAATAAGGTTATTCATACGTCTACTTTTGTTTCTGTGTTTACTTTTGTGAGCTACTTTTACTACTTGATGGGAGTCTGTGTTTTTGGTCTGAAGTAACAGATAATGTTGCACAAAAACATGATGTTGAACTTTAAATCTTAATAAAGTTCTCAATGGTATATACAATAACTTTACAGTGGCACACAGGTGACCGTGTGTGTACAGTTATGAACAGCTGTACTCCACTGATAGACTAACTGGTTTCCTTGGTATTGCAGTCAGATGCATTGTGGTTGAGATATAATCCTTGATTATAAAAACAAATAGCTTTCCTCTCCCTCAAGTGAGATATCTTGTGCAGTGATAGACTAACTGGTTTCCTTGGTATTGCAGTCAGATGCATTGTGGGTGCGATATAATCCTTGATTATAAAAACAAATAGCTTTCCTCTCCCTCAAGTGAGATATCTTGTGCAGTGTAATATCTCCAGAAAGTCCAGCTTTACTCCTTCAAATCCCAGCTCAAATATCCAATTCATCTCACAATATATAAGACGGGGTCTCCTACATCATGGTGAAGCTGCTTGACATGATGTTTACGTTCAATGTTGTCGTTGGCTAAACAAACTTCTGGCTGCAAAGGTGAACTCATTACACAAAATAAGGGAAATCTAAGAGGCAAGTGTCAAAGAAAATCCTCAACATCATGGGGAAACGAGGAAAACAATCTTTTTTCACAGTCTTTGAGAATTCATTTGATCGATGACTTGCTGAGAGGCTGATTAATGAATGAAATACTTTCTAATTGAAAGTAGATCTTTTATGGCTATTTTAATTTCACTGATGTTTGTTCCTGGGGCTCACACGGTTTTGGAATATATATTCTTCAGTGCTGAACTCATGGCTGATTTCCTAACATATTATTAAAGTGTTCTTAATTTAAAAAGCACCAATAATGCTCCTGAATCTCTTATTTTTTAAATCCTCATTATGTATAAAATAATACTGACATTTCCCATATACAGTATTTACAGGAACATTCATAAATATGAATTGGTCAAACATGTTTGGACCTGGTAAAAATAATACTTTAAAGATTGTGAAGTTTGATACAACTACAAGCATTTCCTCACGAGTACCACTGGAGTCTCTTCGTGTAGGCGCACCAAACCCCCATAGACCAGACTGCTGAGAGGATCATCATAAGAACTTCTTTGGCACGTTCCCCATCACAACAGTGTGTGATTGACAAGTGTGTTTTAAAAAACAAATACTGCTGGCGGGGGAATTGAGAACATTTGAAAGTGAACCAGCACTTTACTCTCTCTTGCTTTTAAATATATCTTGAGGAGGATGTGAAGGGAAAGATGAATGTTAAAGGTCTATGTCTACAACAAACAAATAAGAGAGAGTCCAGAGGAAGAAAGAGACAAACTAGCCTTCATCGCTCCACCTCGGATGATGCTGTCGGCCACTGACTCTCTTGGAAACTTTCCAGCTGCCATGGTGCATCTTTAGCGGCGTCCTTGTTCCACGAGCTATGGATTGTCATTGCAGGCAGATTCCTCGCACCGGGTTTCAGGTGCTTTTGAGTCTTGCTGTTCTCGGTATTGGATTTGCGAGGCGGGGGAGTGGCGGTCTGCTTGGCAAATTGGCCTTGTGACGAGGATCCCCGCTGGTGCTGCTGAGGGACTTTCAGAGTTCTATTTACAGAGGCTGAGAGTGTCTCCAGAAGTTGGGAGGCTGAACCGAAGCGAAGTTCCTCCTCCTTCTTAGCAGCTTCGTGCAGAAGAGGAGCAAAAGTGCCACTTCGCTTATTGCAGGATTCACAGCAGAGCTTGTTGTAACCTGGTATCGGGCAATAACGAGCCAGAACCTCCATCTGACAGAATATGGACTTGTCTCCTCCGCATGGCTCATCTGTCAGAGAAGCAGAAGGCTTTTTTTTTTACATTTTATTTCTCACACTTTTTCACATTTCAACTTTTTTGAATACTCAGGGTCTTTATGTCATCAATATTACCAAACACTGAAGAAACAATGTCTCTTTACATGCAGTAAAATAGGCTGTCCATGCACAACTATGACAGTATTTCACCTAATAATTTTGACCACAACGGGAGTTCACCCAATAGTTCACCCTCATGCCATTCCAAATTAGTATGACTTTCTTCCTTTTGTGAAACACAAAAGGCATTTTTTTTCAACATTATCCTGGCCGTTCTTTGTGTTACGTCTGACGTCAGATTCCTCAGATGCCAAAAGCAAACAAATGATGCTAATATACACACACAGTGTGCTGTACTACTATGACAAATCATTTGGCCAGACAGTTATTCTTTTCTGAATCATTAAAATATATGTTTTGAGTACATGCTGTTTTTATACAGTACATAATCTTTTTTTTTAAATGTTCAGATAAAAATCTGTTGATTTTGATATTTGATTATCACACAAATAGTGCAGAATCTTATTTCTTATTTTTTCTGAAGCATTTCTTCATAAATTGCTTTTTACATTTTTCAAATTTTGTTTATTTTAATGTTTAAATTAGACTTTGAATAACAGATTTACAGTGTGACCCTACTGAACACCATTGTATGTGTGTGAACGCTCATCTGTAGACTAGCGCAGGTTAATTCTCACACATAGTATTCATAGCTCCTAACCAGCTGTGCGACTATGAGGAAATTGTATGTCAGAATCCAGTTTTCCCTATTGCTCGTGTACCAGTGATTATCGCTCTGGTCTACAGGTTTAGAACGACACGAGGGTGAGTAAATGTTGACCGAACTTTCTCTCTAGTCTCCATAATTAGTGATAAATCAGTGGAGTAAACGCTGTAACTGTAGATTACATTGTGACACTTATGTGCGGCTCACTCGGACTTGCATCATTTCCTGATCCCCTCAGCTATACTTTATTATTCTGCTCTCCTCTCACTGTTCTAATCAAAACAAAAGAAAAAGCCCACAACAAATGCAGCAGTCATGAGGTCTTTCAATTAATATAAGTCATAAAAAGAGCCATTCCAGTTGAAGCTGGTTTATAGATTGCTGTCACCAGATGAAGCACAAACAAGTTTTTCTTTTAGAATTGAAAGGAAGCTAAATGCCCCTAGCTCCCTAAGGAGCCCTGCTTTATACTGTACGCAGCTGAAAAGTTAAGCAGTGTGCTGCAAGAGTGCCATTTGTAAAGGGTAGGTGTTTTGTTAACCTTCCACTGAGATGGATGTCATCCAGGTGCGGGTAAAGCCATTAAAGAGGAATTAGAGGAAGCATCATGCAAGCAGATATAAAGAAAGTGCTATTCATAGTGATGTCTGCTGCGTTCTAACAAATAAGGCTGACCAGCTGAGCGTTAGCAATAAAAGATTGGAGGAAAATTCTCGAAAGCAGTGAGTTCTGAGAAAGATAGGCTTTCATGTTTGCAAAGAAACTGTGATTTTTCTGTGCTGTAAGGCACTACACATCACGGCTGTAAAACATGTTGCATTAATCACTAAGATAAATTTACAATTTCTAGCTCATGGGGTTCAGAAATGCGACTGGTTTTGGGAAGAAATGTTGAAAGAGTACATTTATGAATATGAAACACTGCCAAAACCTCATGTTCATTTCCAGCTTGTAGGCATTATGTGATCTAATTAATAGCTTTCTCATACGTAATGCGTGACTAAATAAAAGTTCTCAACAGACAACTGAGACAGGGTAAACAAGCTTCTCCAGAGAGCAGTTGAGAAGTTCACAGACCACAAAAGCATTCTGGGAAACTGACTGTGGTTAAGAGCACCATGAATAATGTCATCAATGCAGATGAAGTTATGCATTGTGCTATATTTTCCATTCTCTTTCAATAAACTTATTTTTGTTGAATGAACAATATGAATAGATCAGCCGTTTAAGACTCCATAAAATCACTTGATGAGTGCAGACTGTTGTCCCTGTGTTGCTTTCTGTTTAAACCAATTCTCTGCTTTGGTTTTCAGAGTTTGCAATGGCGTGTCTGTGTTGTCTTACCATGGCAGGGTCCTGGCCTGCAGGGCCTGTGCGACTCAGGCTTCTCACCGGTGCATTGATCTCCAATGCGACATGTGACCAGACGTCGCGCCACACCCTCTCCACAGGACACCGAGCACTGAGAGATAAGAAAGAAGTTCAGGAGAACCTACAAACTACAGAAAAATACATATGGCTTCAAACATCTAACACTGTGTCCTAAACAAGCACAATGCGATTTGTTTATCCAAGACACAATCACAGTCAGACAGAAGATATTTGATGTTCAATGTACAGTTATGAGGAGCAGAACTTTAGACCAATGAGATGTCAATGTAATCGGGGCTACGGAGAGTGACACTGCAGAAACAGAAACCAGGGGCCTGCAGGCCAAAGTTGACCAGTGATAACCTTTTTTATTATTTTATTAAGCAAATTTCATTTTTATAACATCATTTTTAATATAATACAGTTGAATATAAAGCAAGATTTATATTTGGCCCAAGGCCCTCAATCAAGTTTGATTTCTGGCTCGTCTTAGTAAAAGGTTTGGGATCTTCTGATCTAGTGTATGAATTTTATGAAGTTATTTTGCATCAGATTCTGATAGCTTCTCCCCTTCCCTTATATAAGAAAAGCTGTGACAATACATGAAGTTTCCAACAAACTTTTTTCGGTTAATTAAGTGCTTTTATTTGAAGTGCCATTTGTCTTTTTGGAATTTTCAGTGTGAACACACTATTTATACTACAAACTGGCATAGAGTGCATGAGTATGCATATTGGTATGCACCTAATGTCCAGTTTATGAGTTTACAGTCAGCCTAATCAATGACTCATTGTTCATTGACAGAGCTTGCTGTTGAATCCGTTTGCTTGGGTTCAAAATCAATACCACATAGACTGGTTCAACAGAGGATTACACCGACCTGCAGCGTACTGGCTTGAGCTTGATATCTCTGCATAATAATTAAAATCTTCTAAAGTCTTCTGGCAATGAAACACTCAAAGCCTGGATTTTAGCTTCAAGTTCTGACACAGCTGGGTAATGAGGTTACTGTCATGAAACTCTCTTGGTTAATCAAAATCATTATTGACTTAAAATCAGTGGAAATGTCAGGACTCGCTTAGACATTATCAGTGAAAGAGAATGGTTCTAATTTCAAGGTAAAAAGTACAAACTAAAAGAAAATAAGTCCTAATTTGTTTATTTTCTTGACACTCTAAAAAACTAAACAAAAAAAATGGATAGGATATATTAAACATTCTTCAAATTAGATTTTTTTAGTTTCACAATGATTATCTGCAAGCAACTGAAAATTGCTTGCAGATAATATCAAAATAGAATTGAACCAATCTTCTCACTTTCCCAATATGCTACTCCAATATGCTACTTGCTTTTTTATTCATAGCAACAAAACATAATGTGACCCGAGAAAAACATACCTCTGACCAGGTCTTGGTTCCCCATTGGGCAGGGCAGGGCACTCTGTTACATGGCCTCCTGATCTCAGGCTTTTCCCCGCTGCAGTACTTGCTGTGGATGGAGCGGTTTGTTCCTTCATGAAGGAACTGGACACAGCGCACGGTGCGGATTTGGTATCCCAAGCTCCCACAGGTTTTAGTACAATGTTCCCACTCCTCTGTGATCCATCTGTCAGAAGACAAATGAAATCTGCTTGCTAAGTTGTGATGTATCGAATAGTGTTTCCATGTCCAAACCTCTACTTAGTTTCATATGAGAATACCATCTCAACAGCTGTATATGAGTGCTATTCGTTTATACCACACCTTTAAAGGGATAGTTCAACCAAAAATTCTAATTCTGTCATCATTTACTCACCCTCAAGTTGTTTCAAACCTGTTTGAGTTTGTAACAACTTGAGGGTGAGTAAATGATGACAGAATTATTATTGGGTAAATTATCACTTTAAGCTAATCATCAGAAAAATCATTATCACAAACTAATTTATTTGTATTTATTTATTCTTTGTTTTTTTTTGTTTTTTGTTTTTATTAAACTAGGCCTATTCTCTTCACAGTGATAATCTCTCTTTTTTTTTTAATGAAATTGAAACGAAAATGATAAACCATGAATTTGTAAAGAAATATATAAAAAACAAATGCTGACTACATTCAACATTTTAATCATTCTGATTCTAAAAAAATTCTCTACAGTTTTCAATTATCCTTATCTATCTGACTAGTGTTACCATTCACAGGTCGGTCCCATTATTTCATGACTATAAAACCGCACACCACATTTCCTGCTTAAACAGCAGGAGCTTCCATTTATTATTTCTTTGACAGACCAGCTGCTAACAAATCTGTGTAGAATAAAATGAATCAGATGGTTCATTTAGCACTCAGAATGTGATCAGAGAATGTAAAGCGTGGCATGGTGAACTAAAAGTGGGACGCATCTGCAGCTCTTTCATAAACCTCAAGACCAATCTTACAATTAAGAATAAATCATAATAGATATTTTGAGAAATGTATCAGTGGCTTTTTTGTCCACACAACTAGAAGTCACCAAAACTGTCTGATCACCAGCATTTTTCAAAGTATATTTTGTGTTCCATAGAAGAAACAGTAATGAAGGTTTGGAATGACACACCGTAAGACTTCAAAACTCAAAATTGTATGTTGACTTGCTGTATTGAACATTTTCAGTTGGCTCAATTCAATTATGTGAACTGAAAGTCTTTTAACATTAGCACTTCAGTTGAACTGAATTTTTTTTCAATGCAGCAAGTCAACATAAAAATTTGAAAATATTTTTTTGCATGAGGGTGAGTAAATGATGATACAGTTTTCATTTTCGGTGATCCCTTTTAATCAGTTTTTATGATGAACAATAGATGCCATATTTATCGGAGAATTACTACTGTAGACCCACCAGGAGAGAAGAGTGAAGTAAAACTACTGACTATAATTGACCTGCCACCCCCTTCACAATAAATACACTTGTGGAAATGAGGAACATGTTCAGCGACTGAACCAGCCTGTGTAACAGAGAGCACTACAGAAGGTCATTTGTGCCTCGTTTGTGACTTTATAACTCGTCCATGTGGTGCATCAGCAGAGGCATCATTGGCCTGTGTGAACTGGCATAATTAAACAGTGCAGCCTGTACTACTGCTCTTATGTAATACACCTTGAACATACACTGACATCTGCTTAGATATAATAGTTGTGTTGAAAGATTAAAATGAAAAGTCACATTAATTGTAAAAATTTATTTTTAATGGCTTAATGCAAAATGCTGCTCTTCTAGCTATCTCCTGCTATCGGAACGCACATAGCCCGAAGTGCTTTTAGTGTTCATGTGATTACCAGCATCATGCTTGATTGCAATGACGTGCTTAATACAAAAAAACAGCCACATGACATGGTCAGGATGTCAACGTGTTACAGGCAGGTTAATGCTTTTTTCAGGTAAATACATATGTGAGGAAGTAAACGGGTCATTCTTTAAAAGATGTGATTAGAAACCAAAGAACATGAGGCGTTTAAGTACCCCGGAAAGTGTCTCACTTGCTGGATTAATTTACCATACTGGAGAGTTTAAGATGGATTTAGGGTGCTTTTTTTAAAAGCCAGTTTGCCTGCTGAATATTGTGGCTTAAATAGAAATGTAACTGATAAGATGAAGTGAAGACTGTGCAGCCATGTATGAAAAGTCACATTAATTGTAAAAATTTATTTTTAATGGCTTAATGCAAAATGCTGCTCTTCTAGCTATCTCCTGCTATCGGAACGCACATAGCCCGAAGTGCTTTTAGTGTTCATGTGATTACCAGCATCATGCTTGATTGCAATGACGTGCTTAATACAAAAAAACAGCCACATGACATGGTCAGGATGTCAACGTGTTACAGGCAGGTTAATGCTTTTTTCAGGTAAATACATATGTGAGGAAGTCAACGGGTCATTCTTTAAAAGATGTGATTAGAAACCAAAGAACATGAGGCGTTTACTTACCCCGGAAAGTGTCTCACTTGCTGGATTAATTTACCATACTGGAGAGTTTAAGATGGATTTAGGGTGCTTTTTTGAAAAGCCAGTTTGCCTGCTGAATATTGTGGCTTAAATAGAAATGTAACTGATAAGATGAAGTGAAGACTGTGCAGCCATGTCCTCACCTTCACATCCTTTGAAACATGTATGACATTCTATCTGTCATGGTGCACAAAATGAGTTTTTTATAATAGGTTGTACATTCCACACTTTTTTTTATACAGGTTTGGAACAACATGAGGGTAAGTAAATGAAGGATTTTTCATTTCTGAGTGAATTAATCTTTGTTGCCTGTTGAAGACCATGCTGGGCAGAATAGAGATGTTCTACCGAGCTTGTTAACAAAACAAGCCACCAAAACCTCAGCAGCAGAGTGAGGAGAATGTAGACTATATACGAAGCTGCAGGCTGACCTGCAGAATAGATATATTCCCCAACTCCTGCATGTTTATTAAATATTTAAGTTCATTTAATTAACGCTTTTAGCATTAAGATATGGGTGTTTTTGTTGACACATTTTACTATATTGAATTATTTTTCCACAGATTTTCCAGCAAATAAAACCTACTTATTAATAGGGAGGCAAGGGAAACTAAAATGTCCACCACCTGCAGAGACAGCTTCAAGAGTGAGGAAGATAAAAAAACTAAAAAAAACTAGGACAAGTGAATGCAAAGGGAATGGGAAAAGGGAAATGCAGGAAGAACTGCAGGCACAATCTTATCCTCCGCAGATGGGAAGGAGGAGGAGCCCTTGTGAATGATGGGCACACCAAGGAAATATCAGAATCGAAATAGGAAGGAGTCACAACAGCTGACTCCAGCAACAGTTCAGCTTGTGGAAAATGAAATGATTTTGCAACAGATCCTGTAGTTAACCATTACATTTCTATATTTGTCATTTTTACCATTTTTACCCCTAAAAATATTCAATTGTGCACCTTTACAAAACCCTATTTATGCTAATTGTGTTCACTTTCAAAAGTATTAAGAGATATAAATGAATAATCATGCCTCAATCTGCACAGAGTTTTCATTCCTGTGCCACATTAAAAGTATAATCTTTGAGAAAGTATAACGCTTGTGGTGGCTTTCCTCTCAGCATGAAATATGGAACATGACGTGGGAGAGTAAACAATTGACTATCACACATCAGAGGCTCAAATTCTAATCCCATTAAAAGTGTCCTTATTCTGTGGAGCTCTACAGCGCTAGTCACTCTGATGCTAGTTTATCAAAGGAACTGATTACTCATTTGAAACATCTACCACAATATGTTCTTTCATTTAGCATATCTAGCAGTCTCAAATATATGATTTATAAAGCTCAGCCATCTGTTAGCAGGTGGTGGCATCCACTTTATTCCCTCTTAATACAAGTGGATTTTGAAATGCTGAAAAGCCACTGATACAGAGACTTGTACTCCAATAGAGATTGAGTATATCTTGATAAAAACATATTTGCAAAAGAGATTCACTCCAACTTATGAGTAGACCTAGTGTCAGGGTTCTGTCACTTCAGTCTAGTTTATTCATGGTTTTGTGACAGAGCGCTGACACTCCTGTCATGTCTTTTTTTCATGGGAGCGCGCGGCTTTGAGTGTTTTGTTCGAGCCTATGGCTTGTGATTGTTTTGCTGGCCATGTGCTTGTGCTTGATTTTTTGTTTTGTGTGAGCACATGGATTTTGTTTGGTTTGTTTCTGTGTGCCGTGCGCTCATGTCTATTGTCTTGACCCCACCCTTCTTGTTATCTGATAATTGGTTCAATTGCTCAACCTGTGTCTCCCTCATTACCCTCCTTGTTTGCTCCCTATTTATTCTTCTTTTGTTTGCAGTCCTGTGCCAGTTCGTTGTCGAATGTACCCATGTTGGTTCCTGTCTTGTGCAGCCTTGCCTTGCCTTGCTGTGCCCTATCATGGCCTGCCTGCCTATTTTCCTCCTCGGGGTAGTTTGTTTAGTTGTTTTATTTTATTGTTAAAGGGGTCATATGATGCGATTTCAAGTTTTCCTTTCTCTTTGGAGTGTTACAAGCTGATTGTGCATAGATAAGATCCCTGAAGTTGCAAAGACTAAAGTCTCAAAACCAAAGAGATAATGTGTTTTTTGAACATTAAAGCATGTCAACATATTCTGTTACACCAAATACACAAAATAATGATCTTTAAAAAAGCATCATATGGCCCCTTTAATAAAACGCACATTTATTCTGCATATTGAGTCTTCGCCTCTTCCCTTCACCCAAACCTGACACCTATTCTGTTATTTGAATGTAATAATGTGGCTTCATCGAAATGTTGCTCTCACAGACACTGTTTATACCCTTGACTGCTCAAGTGCTTAATGTAGATGCTATAAATCGCATATAGAATAGCTGATGAAATATGAAGATGAACCTAATTAATGTATTCATATCCATGCCTTTTGTGACATCACAACCAGCATGTCTGCAAAACCTCAACTGTCCCAATCTCTTTTTAAAACAAAATGATGCCCATGAATTTTCCAGACATACAGTAAAACAAGGAAAACTTTTGCGCACATGTAACCATTGAACAAACAATTGGGACAGACTGCAAAACTCAGCCACTATATAAATGGATATAAATCAAACAGTACAACAGCTCCTTACAGTTCAAGTGTAATTCATCTAGAAGACTATACAGAAGTAAAAATGTCATTTCCATTAACAAAAAAAAAACGTAGGTCTCATAGAAACATTTTTCAAGCAGTTATATGATTATTAAACAGCTGGATCTGTTGTGAAGACTATAAGTCTATGAACAGCAGAAAGCGCAGAGCATATAAATTGATATGACAGATGTGGCTATGGCTGATAAAAGAAGAATAACTGCTTGAGAGAACACTAAAAACTTCAATGTGTTTTATTTTTCTTTATGAGCACTTCAAACCAGAGTACTGAAAAACTGTCAAAGCTAACAGGTGGAGAGACAGTGGGATTGTGATGTTGTGATAAAAATATACAGCATTTACAACCTACTGTGCATATTTAAATGAAAAAGATGTGCTGAGATGATGTGCGCTCTGTGATTTGTGTAGGTTGATGCAGAAGGGTCTTAATAATTCTTACATATACATTCCATGCGTTAATGATAAAAGCCAGTCATGGACACGCGTTGGATAAAAACAAAACAAAAGCAACTACAACTATATTTCTGGTTTTCTTTCAGAAAGGTTGGAAGAAAGTCATGAGGCTGAGGCAAACTATTCCCAGATATGAAAGATATGCGCAATCACACGATGAGATTTCTTCTTAGCTTCTGACAAGAGAGATGAATGAAGCAAGAATACCCAATGGTATAAAGCAATCAAAATCCAGCTCAGAGCTCTCCAAGCTAGAATGGGGAAGCATGAGTGCTTGTACATTATTTAGTGATGTTTCTACTGAGTTAAATATGATGAAATAAGAAATCACATACTGTACCATGACAACCCATTCTAGCTTTCATTTCAGTGAAAAAGACTACAGTTATTGTGAGCCGTGTTAAAAACTGTTTAAATGCGACTTACTGTGGTTGTGTGCAGTCCTGTAAGTTACACATTCTTCGAATAGGTTTGGGTTTCTTGTTGATGTCACAGTAGCCTCTGTGCACCATTTTGTTGTCACCTTTCTTACGACATCCATATTTGGTGTATTGGAATCCTAAAGATGAAATAAAATGAAAGAACCAAAAGAACCATGATGTGTAATGTTACCAGACTGGGCTACCAGAACTAAGTCCACCTCAATAAACCCTGATGTTTTTTCTTGGGTGTCACAATTTTTAAAGTAAAAATGAATAAACTAATGATTAAAAATCATTTATAATTAATTTAATATAAATTCATAGGTTATGTCAAAATTGTGACGTTGTATACATTAATATTGATTTGAATTATTATATACAACTGGATGCAATTGATTGCATTTATTGTTGCAAATTGTAAACTATATTATTGCCCAATAATAATCTGCTAAATGCAACTATAAGGCATGGAGATTTTAAGATATTATAAATTTTTACATCATGATTTTCTGTAAAGCTGCTTTGAAGCATTGTGTACTGTGAAAAGTGCTATTCAAATAAATGTACATATTTGAGTAACCTAGAAGAGCTAATAGATTGTTAGAGTTGAACGTTACCTCCAGCACAAGGTCTTGAACACTGGGACCAGCTCTTGAGTGCCCACTCATATGTGTCCTCCTGAATGACATTATTGTTGTTAAGGGGCACTGAATCTTCGTGGACGATGTATTTGTACATTAGTGTGGACCTCGTCTCGTTGTCTTTAGGTATAATCTAATGGAGATGAAAAACAATAGGACAAAATTTTCAGAAATAAAGTGATATTTACAGGCATTTGATTATGTACGCAGGGATTTAGCATTTGTTCATGCATATGTAAGAGTATGCAGATTTATGTGTTGCCCTCTGTGTGAGATGACTCAGACGAGGATCTGTTTAATTACATTTGAAAATAAAACGAGCATGACAAGCCTAACTCCACATGCTTGTGGAATCGTCTCAAGAACAACTAATTTTGCATTAGTTTGTTACTGCTGTTGTAACTTGCAATTTCATGCGTACTTCAAATATTCATATTCTAATAGTCATTTGCATTTTTCTAATACTGCAACCTGATATAAAATCAATATGCAAGTCAGAGATTAGGATTCAGAAGCCAGAACATGCCATTTTAAATTTATTCGAAGCAATTTTTGCATTTTGTGATGGTGTGAAAAAGGTGGTGAACCCATTAAAATTATAAAATTCCTGTATTCATTTTGCCTAAATTTGAGGTAACTAGTAAGTAGCTAATGAAAAGCACTGGTCAGAAACAAATTTGTGTCTGTGTGTTAAGGTCACAATTTCATTATTAAAAACACTGGCCTGAATAAATCCACTGATAATTTCCAAATGGAAGACATTCAATATTGTTTTTGTGTTCATGAATTCACCTTGTGGGGAACAGTGAACACAAGTGTAAATGGGAGGATATCATAGGAAAAATCATAGCATTCAAATCAAAATATTTTTAGCAGAACCAAATGCTACATTCAAAGAATGACATCTGGTGGTAGAAATATCAGTTTTTTTCAGCCTGAGAACCCATATGGCTTGTGGTCATTAAAGAATTGATTAATTGTGGACTATAGTAATACATTGTACAGGAAAATGCCAATGTGTCTATCCATGAGCTTATGCATTATAGAAAGTAGGTCATACCACACAAAAAGATCATAAACAAGGAAATATTAAAGTGGAATTGCAAAGCTGAAGTAGAAGAACTGTTGTGCTTTGACAAGTCAAAGCCTTCAACTTAATCTAACTGAATTGTTGTGGCATTTCATGCGAGACAGCTACAGTAAATTATAAGATTGGCTTGAAGCAACACTGTGAAGAGAAATGGACCAACACAACATTCGATTTCTAAATCCTAAAAAGTACATACGTTTTTTTTTTAGTTTTTTTTCACGAAAATCATTAACACATTTCTGCATTGCTATGTAAAATTCCTACCAATCAAATATTATTGTCCATTCATCTATCAAATTCAGACCAGTGGACATATCACATCGCCATTTAAAGTTTATCACAGACTTAGGCCCTCTACAAAAGATGTCATGATTAAGCTTGATTAAGCATGATTAAGAAAACTCTTTTCTCTGACCACTCTTCATAGCAAGCAATTCATAAAAGAAATGTATTTAATATCTCATTTGTTTCTCCTAGACAGAACTGTGATTGAATGGAGAAATTCTGCATAAATCATCTGGCCTATGTTATACACATTATTGTCTTAGCGTATTATATTCACATTATATTTTTAGAGTATGCCAACAATTGTCTATTACTTTTACTCATTTTTGACCTTTAGAATTTACATTTATTAGAAGTTTTTAAAGGGGTCATATGACATTGCTAAAAAGAACATTATGTTGTGTATTTGGTGTAATGCAATGTGTTTATGCGGTTTAAGGTTAAAAAAAACACATTATTTTCCACATAATTTACATTATTGTTGCTCCTCTATGCCCCGCCTTTCTGAAACGCTACTCTACTCTGCTCAAAACTCGCGTTTGAATCGTCAGTGGCAAATTCTTTAAATATAAAAAACGTACTTACAGTCTTTGAGTCAGAACAGCCGGCATTGTAGTCTACTCTCCCAGGATCAGGAAACAGTCCTCCATAAAATGTGCTGCACACATCTGAATATTTGGGTTGAAGTGTTCTGGAACAGTGTTGTAAATACAACTTAACCACTGATTTCTAGTTGTGTCCTCTTTTGGAAGGCCAAACAAAGTAGTTTCGCTTTCACAACGAAACACACAGAGTCACACACGGCGGGCTTGAGCGAGCGGCTTGTGGCAACCACATGTGACGACCCCGGGCTGGACTATGCTTTGTCCACGGTGAAAGCCGATCCGGCGATCCACAGCACTAAGTTGATGTATTTCCTCAGCAACCAGCACGGATCAGCTCTAGGCATGACGAAGCGGATATCGTCCTCTTTTGGAAGGCCAAACAAAGTATTTTCGCTTTCACAATGAAACACACAGCATCTCCACAACATGGCGGCGGCGGCAGCAACAATACTACAGCAAGAATAAAAGTTACGCCTTCTTTCTTTGCGTGAACATTTGGGCGGCGTTATGCAAATCTTCCCACATCGTGACGTAGACATGTGGGGGCGTTTAAATAACGCGCTTTAGGAGGGCGTGGACAAGTCTAAACTTTTATAAAGAATATTTCTTTGGATTTGAGACTTTAGTCTTTGCAACTTTACAGATATTCTTTATGCACCAAGAGCTTGTAACACTCCAAAGAGAAAGGAAAAATTTAAATCGCATCATATGACCCCTTTAAGTAAGTAGAAGAATTGGCATTTACTGTATGCATTTGGCTTTTATCCAAAGTGATGTATATTGCATTTAATGTATACATTTTATCAGTTTAGCATTCCCTGGCAGTCGAACCCATGACCTTGGCATTACTTGTGCCATGTTAAAGTGTCTCAGCTACAGGAATGATGACAGATTACATTATATTAATTCAGTACTGGGTAAAAGGCAAGTTTGACTGTGCAACATGAACTGTCACGTATGACAGATATACATCTAATCTATACACCTAAGCAAGCTTATGCACTAATACTGGAAAATAAAGAAAGAAGAACAGTCACATCAACATAAATATTTATGATGCATATCCTTTCGACAATCTAGTATAAACATCTCCAATATAAACATATACTGTATCATCAACTGCTGTCTTCCTATTGATTCCTCAAAAGACAGGCCTCACATTGCAGAGCTGCAACCCAAAATTTCAGACAATTTTAATGACAAGGTGGTCCAAGTTATCTAGGACTGGCAGATTTTTTCTATGACAATAGGATCTTTTGCAATCCTTGAAATTGGTCTCAAACACCAACATAAATTGTGGAAATTAAGAAAACATCTGTCAGGAACTGAAATGTAATGCAAATGTTCAATCTAATCCACATTATCCACTGCAACAGCTTAGATGAAGGTCAAATTATATAATAAAAAAAATCCTTAAAGATAACTCCAAAAGGCTCACAAACTCACAGTACCTCTATCAACAGCAAAACATGAATATTCATAAGCTGAGCATATGGATGTACCATCTATGAAGTACACAAATTCAACAGAATTCATGCAAATTGGAGAAAAAGCATGCACTTAAACACTTCTTTCCATTCATTTCCAATGTAAATGTGGTTCAACTACAAAGGAATAATCCATACAGATACAATCAAGTATTCCCTCCTTTCACGAATGTGTCATTCATATACAAAATGCCATTGACCAAACAAACTCAGTGTCATCACATCCCACTGCAATATCAATGTTTTTCTCCTTGCGTTACTAACATTAGATATTCTCTCGTTTCAAAGTGAGTGTAAGAGCATCTCTTTTATTCTCTCTCCGCAAATATTTCTATCACACCACAATACCTCACACCTCTACTCCATCCCTATCCAGCAAGCACTCTCACTAACAGCTTCTTTTCAAACCACGACTGAAAAACCCATTCAAAACCCAACGTCACTGATGTCACTTGCATTGTGTTTCAGCTGCCAGTGTATTTAGAACACATTCTTCTCTTGTAACCTTCCGCGTTCACACTGGGCTCTGATCTCCAGCTAAAGAATGAGTTCAGAGAGACGGTGAAAAGCTTTAGCTTTGACTGACACATTTAAAGAAAGGTGATCTTCACTCATATTCTTTTAACTCAAGGACCTTCAGTTCACACACACACAGCAGCTTCAACAGTGTTAAGTGGGTGGTGATGAATAATTCACTCAATAGAAAGTTAAATACTGGGGCATGTCTCAAGCAAAAATGTATTAAAGGTCTCTTCTAACGTCTCTGTTTCTGCTACAAGCAATGAATTTGATCCAGTCTTCACAGAACCGAGTGCATTTACATGCACATTCTTAAATCGATTATGCTTAATAATCCAACAACATGTGTGGTCATATAAAAACATTAAAATGTTTTCCTTTATCACTGCAAGGTCCTAAACAGCTTAAGCATAAACGCATCAACTTAGCTAGATTTTTGCCCAATTAGCCCAATTTTGCCCTGGCATTTACAGCTTAACCTGTGTTCCCTTGCCACGGGGACTGGTGCAGCCACATTAGTTGCACCCCCCTAAGGACGGCCCTGGTTTTAAACAAAAACATTAATAATCACATAAAATTTCAAGTGTAGCTTGATGCTAATTGTACCTCTAATAATATTTTAAGATGTACTCTTGTAAGCATTATAGATGGTTTGTGTTTCTGGTGTAGAACCAAACTTTATTTATATTAATTTAATGTTGTTGAGCAGCGGACGATGTTAAATCCAGATATGAGATACATATCTGAGGAAAAATGCATTGTTGGTCAGCGCCACCTAGCATGCAGGTGTGAATTAGCAGAAGGCGATCAATCGTTTCGCAGTCGATGTTAAAGCACCATTCGTTGCTGATTCACCTCGCTTTTTTCGACCAACAATGCATTTCTCTTCATGTATGTATTCTCGTATAGGCTTTAACATTGTCCGCTTAATATTTTTGCTCAAAAACCCACTTTAAACCATCATCAAGTTCCGATTGTGATCTAAAGTGGATTTTGATTCTATAATAGGCAGACATGCAATCTTTGTATGTTTTATAATGGATTGAACGCTACACCTTGTGTGCATGTAAACAATATGACTGAAAATCATGTCATCTTAAAGGGTGAATTACAATAGTGACAAAAAGTCAGTGAGTGTTGATGATTTCCAGCGCCAAATGTAGGTGTGCCCAGCGATGCAAAAAGTTTAACTTTATGCAAACTAGCACATTCAAAGTGAGTTTCAGCAGCACGAAATCCAATTATCAAAAGCTGCATGGCCACCAATGATTTTAAGGCATCCAGCTGCAGAAACGCCAACTAGCATCCAATAGACCCTTTTCACAAGACCGTGATGACGCGTTTCAATGGTCATCAGCATCGTAAATCCTCCAAATTTTTTGCTATTTTTTTTAATGTATGTACATTTATAACACTATAATTTCTATTATATTACCTTTGCATCAAATTACAAAAAATGAATTAACACTAATGCAAGGGTGTTTCTAATAAGAGTGTCTATTTAGATAGAGTTATAGAGTTGCTATTTGAGCAAATGGGAATGCAAAAAATATATTTGTGGTAGTCTCCCATTCACTGCTATAGAAGTTTACCTAACTATGACTACTTCTGCTGCTCAGAAACCAGGAAATGTGAAAAAGGTCCATAAGACTCCATTAAAGTCACTGTAAGTGTGAATGGGTCATTAGTGTGTCTTGTTATGTGGTTCTCTGATATAGTTGATTCTAAATGGTCAATTGCAGCAATCTTATAATTTTTGTATAGCAACTGCTAAACGGACCCATGTCCCCCAACAACCTCCTAAACTGTGCTAGTAAATCCCTTACATACAGTGGTCCTATGAGGAACAACATTATTATATTCATGAACACCTCTTACAGATGTCAAAGACTGCAAATATCAGCTTTACACTTCTGTCAGAAATGTCCAAGAGGGAAAAGAAGGGTGCTGCTTTGAGTCTGAATTTTCTGATGAACATGGGGGAAAAAAACGACAGACATCAGCTGTGACTTTTGTGTACGGTATATGGTGAGGCATGATGTGCAACACCATACAGTATACTGTACTGTGTGCGGGGGAGGTGTTGGGCTCTCTGCATGCATCACACACAAACACACTCATAACATTTCACACTCTGCAGTGTTGTATATATGTATTTTTTGCTTCATTTTTACATTTGCCATGGCAAGTCATGATTACTGAGCCTTGCATTTTCATTAACATACTTATTCAAATGATGGACTGTTCGGCATAATCCATAATTATTCCATAATTCCTTTTTACCAATCAAAGAATGAAGACTGAAAGTTTTAATACCAAAAAGAGAATGAAAAGCATGTCGGCCCTTTGTCATTGAAGATTTATGCAGAAAGAGGCATTCATTCTTTGCACACATGCAACTATAGAGAAAATTTAATTACACAAAGGTTGCTATGGCCAACCAAACAATTTCCATTCCACTTAGTTCTGAACTCAATTAAGGTAATCAGAGGGAATATATATGTTGCTGCGCAACTGGCCTTTGACAAAGGGGTAAATCTATACTAAATTTGAATCATGTTGCACCCTCTTAAAAGCACGAATAAAGAATGTGAACGGAGGGAAGGTGCATCTATTTTTTCAAGGATATCTATAAATACAACATCTATTTATATTAATAATATATTATTTAATAATATAATATTTTCATGTTATGGCCAATAACAATAAATGGCTTATAATAAAATAACATTATTTAAAATTTAATTGTTAGATGAATTTGTCTAAATAGATCATATAAACTCAAATCAATCCTTTTCAATGTAATTAAAAGTACATTTAGGCATCACATTATAATGTACAGCATTAAAATTAACATTAATTTTGTGATTTGCAAAATATGACTTATCAGTTATTAAATCACTAGTGTTAATAATTAAATAAAATAAATAAATATTAACTTGAAGTGAACATCAGATGACGGCAAAGGTATTTCAAATGGTAAAACAGGGGAAGTGAGATTCAACATTAAATATCCATTATCGGCTTAAATAAAAACACAAATATTGGCCAATAATCAATATAGTGCCTATATATCAAGAATTGCAAATACTTAAATATATCACATTATCACATATCTCATTTTTAAGGCTACAATTAGATTAGAAAGTTTTATTTACCAAAACAACAATTGCATCATGTAGTGGACCATCAGTGTGAAGAGTCTCGACATCGTCCTCAATTAGGTAGTCCCACTCCACTCCCATCTCGATGAAGCGCCGAGATCTCGCATCTTCTCCCTTGCCGTTGAGAATGTAATGCCCTGTTGCCTGGTTCTTGATAGCTGCAATCAGTGATTAATTACAACTCTTCAACAGTTCAGGGATAAGAAGTTAACAGAATGATCTGAATCACCCTGTTCAATTAAGTCATCATTTCAGCCATTGAATCAGATGTTTAACTGTCAAAACAGTGAGCATTTTATTGTGCCGTTTCAATGTCTAAAAGCTTTATTGAATTATTCAGAAACATTAGGCTAGTATTATATGCTGTTGAACAATATGAGGACATACTGACACAAATAAGTAGTGACAGAGCTCAGAGCATGAGAGAAATTAAGTGGTCATTCGCTTGAATGTAAATGGTGATTACAAGGAGAGCTGCGCAGACATCAAGACAATCACCATTGCTACAAGTCATCAAATGTCACTTGGAATGTGAAAAATTAGATTAGGTTTCCAGAACATTAATTATGGAGTATATTGTCTGGAATTTTTTAAATAATAATGAACATAAAGTGTTAGGCAGTATAGTGCAAAAAGTTTGATGCATGAAATCAAAGTTGACCTTTGATTTCCTACATGCTTAGCGTGATGAGTTTGTGTTTATTTTTGCCAACATATCTACAAAATCTAAAGGATAATTCACCCAAGAATGAAAATTTGAAAAAAAAAAGGCTTAATAAAAGTTTTTTAAAAAGTGCCATATTAGATGCTTATGATGGAACTCACATGTAACATACATTATCAAAATCACTAAATTACCATGCAAATAAATGCTTCTTATCTCAATAATAAAACTAAAATGTCAACAACAACTACTGTATATAGGTTACCATATTAATTGCTATAGTGTTTAGACCTGCAAAGAATCTAATTATTGCAATCAGTTAAGTTAAATATATAGATAACCGCAATATGTATACATAAGTTATTTAACACCCCCTATATTATTGAAACAGAATTACCTTTGGAAGACCTCTTGAAAGGTTAACTTGGGCAGTAAAGTCAGACTGTGAACATCTTATCTAACTAATTAAAATAAGGTTAGGTTTAATTAAAAGTTTAACAACCGAGGAGTATTATTCAAACTCCTACATTCACAGAGAAGCACGTATAAGAAGGTAAATATTGTTGGAATAAAACCATCTGGTTCAATTATGTGCATTACAAAGTGATAATTTCGGTCTGTATGGACTACTCAAAATGAATAGAATAAAGAAAATGGGCCAAAAAGTTTAATGTTTAGTTCTACAACATTGACTCATCAAAGCATGCTGTGGGTAGTTGTAGTACAACATGTTAGCTTAACTTCTGCATTAAAACCACAAAATGGTTTCATGTTTGAGCTACTTTATGTTGTGGAACAAAACGTGAAACATGATTTTACTCCTAAATCTGCTATTCTAAAAACCCACTGTAAATTCCAAAATGAGCCCACGGCTTGAAAACGCCCATTCCCTTTGAGGTTTGAGGACTGTGGTTCACAATGCCACAGACAAATTGTGGTAGACAGCGATTGTCTCTAAAATCTGTGAGTCTAATTCTGTCTAATGCACTTCCAGGCAAATGCACAAGCTCTTTTATGTGAATACATTGATGCGATGGTATGTATTGGGGTGATATGGATCCATCGAGCATAGTTACCCAGAACAGGCACAGAATACATGAGCATGCATTTGGTCTTCTTGCTGCGAAGCTTGAGATACATGAGGACAGATATCACTTACCAAGAAATTGAGGAGAAGCCTCATGTTCTTGTATGATCACATGTCTAGCCCCAGGAGGAATGAGAAACATCTTTAGGTAACCTTTGCAATGACGAAAAAAGGCAAAGGGAGAGACAGCAGAAGCGATTAGTTAGCTAAGAAGTTCTACTACGGTTTGATCTTTGTAGAGGTGGGCATCACTAGAAGGCATTTCTACAGTAGTACATTACTAAAGCTTTCAGATTTGAACAGTTGGAATACTGCAACTGTTCATAAAGCAGGGTCATGACAAGCCTATGGGACAAACCACAAAACATGACAGAAGGTTCCTCATCCATTCATTTCATATATGCACACCCATGCGAATAGATGACATATCCTTCAGAAGAACAAATAACAATGTCAGGCGAAAAGTGAAGACCATGAATGATTGTTATGTAAGGCTAATTGAGAAGGATGCTGAATGGCAAGGCCTTGAGTCAGTTTGCAACACATCACACAAGAACACAAAAACACTACTGTTGCCTTCTCTACCGATGCCCATTCCTCTACAAAGTGTGATACCACTCACCCATCACATCTCTAGAATCCTCGGTTTCATTCAGATACACATTGCGAGCTCCTTTCGGCAGCAAGAAGGCTCCTCTTGTTTTCCCTTTAGGATAAGAAGGGTTTGTTATGTCATTTTGCCCAACACTCATTGTCATTGACATGTTAAATGCCTCAAAACCAAAGCTAGGCTTTGAACCAGTCTCTAGCAGCATGACGCCTGTCTGAGACACGCATGTGACGTGAAATGATGGCCAGGAGTCTAATCATTACAATGGAGGATCGAGTCACTTAAGGTAACGTCTGCTGGGAGGTTTTATCATCGATTAATGTGGACAGGAAGACATCGACAGAGAATAAGCAGGAATAAAAAGGGGTTGAGGAAGGAGAAAGGGAGATTAAAGAAAATGGACAGAAATACTGTGGGATGGTGGTGGGGGAGGGACGCTGTACGATATGTGTGTGTGAGGGAGAGAGACAAAGAGAGCATATTTATTTACTAATCCTATGAGATTTATTTGCTTTCATGTTATTTCCATATTTGTTTCTATATTATATTACAATGAAATGAGAAATATGGACATTTTTGACGAAGCTCTTCAGGACCTTTATTTAAAGAGATAGATGACCCCAAAATGAAAATCATTTACGGTCATTCCAAACCTGTATGGAACCAAAAAGGAGACATTCTGAAGAATGCTAGGGTCCAAACAACATCGGAGCCCACATACTGTCATTGTATGGCCAAAAAACAAAGAGACATTTTTCAAAATATTTTTTTTTTGTGTTCCACAGAAGAAACACATGCACACAGGTCTGGAATGACATGAGGGTGAGTAAATTATTTACATTTTTAGATTAACTTTCTTTTATTGTAAGAATTGTTTTTATTGGGCATTTAATCAAGCTGAGTTTGTACCACAAATCAATTTTATGCCAAACCTTTAAGGAAGATTCTGAGTTAAATTTAACTTAAGCTTTTCTGTGGAATGCTGTCTATCACAAGAGAAAATCATTATAAGCTGACAAATCTGTCCCTTATTTTGTAAAAACAAAGGAAAAACACTTGTACAGTAATGTACTTACATTCAAAATCTATAGTGTCCAGCACCACAAAAAATATTTAAAATCTAAAAAACTAAATTTAAATGAACGTCACAGAATAAATAATAGCATGAAACTGCTATCATAGAACTTTTTCTGTGCTTCAAAGGTTGGTAAACTCAAGTTTGAACAGTCAAATTTCACATCTGCACAAGAATATCAGTTTAAGGAAGAAACTGACCATAAAATGCTGTTTACATGGAACAAATTTCACACAGGAATTTTGTTGATAATGCAGAATCAAAGGTTTCCACCTCAAGAGGATGATTTAAACAGATCAATTTTACTGAAAAATTCAAGTGCTTCAAGAAAAGTACGACCTTCACATTTCTGCTTCTAAGCTATTCAATACATTTGCCCCTTGGGCATCCATTGTAAGTGCATTACTGCAAATGAGTTTTTCTTTGAGTTTTCTAAACAAAGCCAGGGAATCAAAGTTATTTTCTGTTGTAATCAATAGCATTCTTCAAATGAGGTCAACTGAGTTTTATTTAGATCAACTGCTGAATATTGCTTTAAAGCTACAAGCTACAGTCAATGCAAAACACAGCAGAGAAGTGTAGGATTAGACAATATAAGATACTTGCAGGTTGTGTTTTCCAACACAGGGATTTATTTTTGGGATCTCTTGCTTAACTTTTTTCCTGTTAAAAAGTGATTGATTGAAAAACAAGGTAGAGTTAGAGAAAGGTCAAAATGCTGATTTAGTTCATGCAAACAATGTGTTAAATGTAGTAATGATAATAAGAAAGTACAATGTAAGGAATTGTCATTAAAATGTGTGATATAAATCATCACAAATTGTGCACAATCACCCATTATGACATACTGTATGACAAAATCAAGAAGTAAACATCATGCAATTTCTGGTTAGAGCCAGAATGAAACATTCATTCATTGTCGCAAGTAAATATAACATGTGACACCATGCTAGTTAAAGCAATTGCACATTATCTATAACACATGTGGAGTCACATCTGAAAAGCTGGACCTATATAATTATGTACATCAACTCAATTATTCCACATGCCATGTCTTTCAAATGCAACAAAACCAACAAAGACACACACATGAATCCATAATCTTAGACACAATTGTCCTGCCATCTGTGCGAGGGCTGTGCTTCATTATGCATTAGCATGAGTGTGTGTTAATGTTATTGTATAGGCCTGCATGCCACATTGTTAATAAATAGCAGGTCATATGGACCTATTTTGAGGATCTGTTGTGATTGTATGTCTATGTAACAGTAAAATTAGGCAGCTCCACAAATAACTGCAATGAAACATTGTGCCAGAGCCATGTGGCTAATGCCTGTTTATGAAAAAGATCTATATTTAATCCTAAAATCATGATTTGCATATTTACGCTAAAATTATTTGATTCCTTCGTGGAATCATGTCTTTTTGGGTTCAGAGCAGGCACAGCTCTGAAGAACAGCATGTTGTATAGTCCCCCACATTTCACTGAAAACAGCTAATGTATATGCTGGGCTTGACTGCTCTTCCAGGGCCATTATAAAGATGTCAGCCCTATGCCCTTTGTGCATTTGGGTTCCTCTCTAAACAGGAGTATAATACATCATTAAGTTAAATGAATAGGATTAATAGAGGGAAATTATGTCCTTTAATACATTTTCCATTTGCTTCTATTCTTACTGTATGTGCTATTAAAACAATGTATCATCAGCTAATTTGAAAAAGGACAAAATAGCAAGAGGATTCATGGGATATGAAAAAAAAGCAATCTAACCATAAAAGCCACCCAAAACACTTATTTTGAACAAATGGGGAAGTGTTTCATATCCTCATGAACTGCCTAGTGACTGATCAGGCCACTATACAATCGTTGCTTTAAGACTAGACATCTTTATCAACATAAATGCAGGTTGGTAGAACAAGCAAGAACATGTTATGATATGCATTCTGACAATATTGTGACAGGTTTTATGCAGTTTCATGCAGGTATAAAGAACCAGTTTCAGTAGTACTATTTTTGTGCTGCAGGGATGGGCAGAGCAGCCATTATCAGTAAGATTTTTTATATCTTTAAGAAAAAAAAAAAAAAGTCTGAAGCTCACCAAGACTGCGTTTATTTGATTACTATTATTATTTATTTATTTTTTTACGACAGGACAGTATGTTGACAGGAAGTGAAGTGGGAGAGTGACGGGGGACGGGATTGGGAAATGTCCACGAGCCAGGATTCGAACTCAGGACACCCGAAGCGTTACGGAGCTGTATGTAGGCGTGCTGCCCACAAGGCTATCAGCGCTGACAAAATAACTGCATTCTATCTGAATATATTTAAAAATACAGTTTTTTTCTGTTATGGCAAAGCTGAATTTTCAGTGTCACATGATCCTTCAAAAATAATTCTAATATGCTAATTTGGTTCTCAGGAAACATTTCTTATTATTATCAATGTTAAAAAAAAAATTTGCTGCATAATATAATTGTGGAAACCACAATCTTTTTTTTCAGGATTCTTTGATGAATAGAAAGTATAAAAGAACAGCATTTATTTCAAATAGAAATCTTTTGTTATGTTACATCGCATGGGGGTCCTGATCACCCTGTCAGGGTTTATTCTGCGATAACAACCAGCTGGATGTGTATTATATCGCTTTTTAAATAAATCAATATTCAACACAAAATATTAATTGGAGTTGAAATATTTCATTAGTTCTTTAAACGCAAAGCTTCCGCAAAGAAAAACAGTTCCTAACAAACGGCTTTGCATCTACACGAAGTACAGTCGTATAACTCATTACACAGCTTCTTTTATGTTTGCGAATGTTATTTGAGAAGAAAGCATTTTAAAATCTTACCTGTTAATTATCTTAAATCAATTAAAATATATACAACAATCATTCTGGCAACAAGACGAACACTTTAACAATATTAACGGAGATCTTCTATTAATACTGAACTCCTCTGGTTTCATTTTAAATTTTAAAACAGTAAATACAGTCGATAATTGGGGTGCAAGATGAGTTGCATATAAGTTGCATATAAGACTAAGTTGCATATAAGACTAAGTTCATTCAACTAAGTTGAATGAAACGAGAGAGCGAGAGCACAGTGGTGTGATATGAGAGATGTGAAAGAAGCGCCGGCCTCAAATACACAGATGAGCAGTGTTATTCAGCATTGCTAATGACGATGGTTGTTATCGGGCAATAACACACCTTGGAATGTCGTGACTGACCAATCAGAATCGATTCTTCCAGAGAGCCATGTGTTAAATGTCTTTACTGTCACTTTTGCTCAATTTAATACATCCTTACTGAATAAATGTATTCCTTTTTAAAAAAAATTAAATAATGCAAATGTGGACGGGCCTTAAACCAGAAGTGCTTAAAAACTAAATGATAAGCTCATTTTTAAATACGTATTGATTCCATTTAAAATTGCATATAGCAAAAATGTCTTGCTTAATTCATAAGATTCATTATTCTTTTTATTACAATATTTACGTCATCAAAGTGAGAATCAAAGAACAAGTGTACCTACAAGTTTTATTTGGTCATCTGAATGCATGATCAAATTATGATTCTACAGACCCTGCAGACAAGGAAATTTCGTGGCTGGAATTCTTGGTGCTTTAATTGAATACCTGTTAACCGGCCACAGTGACAGTGTGCCAAAACATCCTGAAATTATAATCCTATAATTAAAAATTTCTTTAAGAATGCTATCACAGTGGGGGAATCTATTTATAGGCTAAATGAGGTCTGGTGCAAACCTCAAGCTCCCACTAGGGCTACACAACTAGCAAATACCATTAAAAAATAAACTGATGGTTGCTTAAGGAAACCAATTAGATGACTACCTTGCTTTTATCCCTGACTGCTGTTGCCTGAATAATAATGACACCTCATTATTATTGGCTGAATAATAATGACATCTATTGTGATTCCCTAGGTACAAAATGTCCTTTTATTATGTTGTTCACCTCATATTGAATTCACTGCCAATGGTACTTGGCTTTATGTCATTGTCACAAAGCGTCAATGACAGAGATCGGCTGATCTGCACTTAGCGTGATAGGGTGAATGCCTGAATAATGGAAACCAGAACATATGATAGGAGTGAGACTTGCAACAAAACCTGGATCCTCTTCTGCATGTCTTTGGAAACTCAGGGACAGAATTTAAAGAGAAACTATACGCAGTTTGTATGCAAAGTAGAAAGTCAAGATGGAATGGTAATGTGAGTCCTGAGGGAAGTTTTGGAGTTCATAAAATAAAAGTTGTTTATTGTCTCTCTGTGTTTACAGGTGAGCCTCCCTCGTCAAGTAGCCCAGTGGTCCTGAATGTCAATGTTCTTGGCTTGCAATCTTAATACATACTTTCCAACAACTTGTGCTAATGAAATTAAAAAATTATAAATCATTATTCAGCAAAAAATAATGGAATAAATAAAAGCACAAGTTGTTGGAAAGTATGTATACGGTGTCAATTATAAGTAAGTATTGTGTTAAAGCTTATAATAGCACCAATTGAATCAACACAAACAACATTTCTGAGGAAAAAGAGTGAAAAATTTAAGGGGGTCTGAATACTTTCCGTACCCACTGTATATATTTAAGCCACACATAACCAACAAAACTATTGTTTTAGTACAATATTTGATTAACAGGCCGGTAGTCGATCCTTTGCTGTCTTCGGGATGCATCACGACCAAGCGGCAATCTCCCGCTCTCTCTCATACAGCACTTCAAGTTAAGCCATTCTTAGAAAAGAAAAAGAGTCAAATATTTTTTTCTATAGGTCTATCATAATGCGTGCGGTAGAGGGTTAAGCTGATTATGCTTAATAAGCCAACAACGCCCATGGTCATGTAAACACAGTAACCCGTTTACTTGCGTTGTCAGGTTACTGATGTGCATGTAAATCGGGAAAACTGGTTGTTTTATTAAGCTGATATTTGTGAATTATCCTCTTACTGGCGTGCATGTAAACATGCACAGTGATTCGTTTTTTTATTTTTATTTTTATCCTGACATGTTGGTCTTACATTTTTCACTTGGATGTTAAGTTGCACTGAGTAAATATAACTGGATAAAACAAAAATTGTACCTTAAAGTTCTGCATAATTAAGGGCGTGGCCACTTGAGTGACAGGTAGATTGCCGCTGCTGTCACCACCATCGAGCTAGGTGGGCGTTGTTTCAGCAACCAGCTACCGCCGTCCCCATGTTAAAATGCCCAACTTTAAAGCAGAAAAGAACATGTTTACAGCCTGGTTCAAAAAATAATTTTGGTCTATATAGCTAATTTTGCCCTTCATGACAACTGTGAGGGGGGTGAATTTTTTTTTTATAACTCATCCGTTTAAATGATATTAAGCCTTAAAGTTCTGCATAATTAAGGGCGTGGCCACTTGAGTGACAGGTGGATTGCCGCTGCTGTCACCACGGTCGAGCTAGGTGGGTGTGGTTTCAGCAACCAGCTCCCGCCGCTTTGCCCATTTTCAATTATCTGGGAGTGACGTGCGGTGACGCGCTGCCAAGATGGCGACGGCTGCCACCGCCCACTTTGAGCTTCAAAAACGCTCTTCGGAAACCTACGGGTGACGTCACGGACACTACGTCCGTGTTTTTATACAGTCTATGATCACGACAGATTGTGTGTTTAAACTACAAATGTGATGAGGTCAAATACCTTTTAAACTTGAATATGGTTTGAAGAATCTGATCAGAAAATGTTTTGGATTTACATTTGTATTTAGCGCTCACCACTTGTGACTGGATCTCCAATACGGATGTTAATAACCGACTAGTCTCGCATAGCCAGACCTTCAGACTGACAGCAGAAGGTCTGGGAACCTTGGCCGCTTTGAATGGCAAGGGCCGCCCAAGAGGCCATATGACTGACAGATAAAGCGTGGAAATGTCCCCACAATAACAGACCGTGTGTAAATCTCTTGGACGTATTTTAAAGATTCTATGCCGCGAACTTTAAATATTTCACATACTTTAAAAAATCCAGTGTTTAGTTGGATCCTGATAAACGTTCATTATCACAGTTGTAAACACGACGGCTTTCTTCTAACATGAGGGGGTTTGGCGTCATGGCATCTTTGTTTCCATGCGGATCATTATAGAACGCGACACGCATGTCTCCCGGAAATCCTGTATAATTCAACCAATCCGATGACGACTTCGAAACTCCTGAAATGTTTCCAATTTTGTGTGCCGTATGCATCAGATGTTTAGCCAATGGTCCGTGTGCGTGACGTCTGAGGCTGAGACTAATAACAGACGTAAACCCACGTCTGATGTTTTTTATTGCATGAATTAGGAACAATGAAAGCAAGACATTTTCCAACAAATGTGCCTGCTTTTTATAACCCAAGAACATACAGCCAGCTTTACTCATACATATTCAGGTTATCGATGAATATATGCTATAAATGGAATTTGCAACGGCTAAGCTAGACAAAAGTACATTTATGACATCAGCTGTTCCATTTGTTAAGGTTCTTTACAACAGAAGTGAAGAAGAAGATTGAGTGGGTTTAATGGACATTTGAGTGTGGTCATTTATGCATAATATGCCAAGGACAAGGAATGTGCAGATGCTCCTTACATGTGAATGTGTTTATCAAATAAATCTCTAAAACAGCTCCTTCAATCTGTGGTGTCAGAGTAGGAGTATCATGATTAAAATCAAAGTTCTAAATACAGAATCAGTATTCAACTGGTGAAAATGTAGAGTGAAAGGCCTAAGATATAGGACAAGGAGGGGCCTTGAGAGCCGCATGTAAAATGACACAACCCAGTGTGAAAAAAAGTAGTTTGTGTCGAACTACACTCAAAATTTTCTGAATGAACCACAACAGACTCAGAGAGAGGAAGAGTTATAAATAAACTTAAAAACAAAGTTTGTGTCTCTCTGAAACATAAATGTATTATTAATATGATACAACCTCATATACTGCGACTTCCTTACATAGAGTACTATTACATTTTTAAATCTCTGACTATCTATTATGAATGTTACTGAATTCCAGCTACACGTCCTTTGTTCTCTGTTGCTGTAAAACTTCTCTGATCGCAGTCCCTGCAAATAAGTATTTCCCAGATAAAATCCAAACCCTATCCTTTAGGATTTCATTACCTTTCCCAATCCTAACCTAATTTCATCCCCATTCCCATTTTTCAGTAAACAGCTACTGTAAGTATTCTACCTGTAGCCATAACACTAACTTTTGCACTGGTACATGCAATTAAGAAAATACATACATACATAAAGTCTATGAAATATGGCAAAAGTCATTTCCATGCATATCAGTCCATACAATTTTGTACACAGTTTAAAACTTTAAAATAAATTTTAAAACAAAAGAGGTTCTCTATGAGTACTTAAAGTAGACTTGTGCTAACAAATAATTAAAGCAATTTTCACATCTCCTTGAATACTAAATTAATAATGCTTATTAATAAATCACACATCCTTAAAACTCTTAAAGACATCTGGAGTTTCTGAGATGCCATATCTAATATAATAAATCGTATATCAATAATAAATGTGTGAACTCAAATCTCAAAACATTTCAGAATTATCACTTTGCTCATTATTTCCCCCAAAGTAAAGTGAACTCCAGAAGTGTCCTGAAACTAGAAGACTCTTACTTAAAGAACTTAATGACAGGTCTGCAGTATAGAATGAAGAACTGTCTGATGGACCAGGAAAGAGGAAAGCATCTTACCGGCTTTCTTGGGCACACGAGTGAAGGTTCCTTTCACAGTTCGGCAGTGGGAGTTGTCACCCCCACACACACCACACTTATCCTCCACCTTACTGGAGACAATTTCCCTGTCACAGCCCACTTTCTGAAGGAAAGGGGGAAAGGGAGAGGGGGGAGGGGGAATATGCAAGACACACTGAGAAAAGAGGCAAGAAGTCCCATCAAAAATACTTCAAGCTTTCATCTTTGAATATGTCTGCATCTGATATCATGAAACTATAGCTGTTTTTAATAGTTTTGAAGTATGAACAACACTCTTAAAAAGATGATAGATATCTGCAAATAAATCCTAAAGCATCGGTACACTAGCTGACACACTATCAATCATTTCCTCCCAAAAGCTAATCACTATTCATTGTCCATTCCATCTACAAAAATCAATGTACTTCTATCAGCCCCATCCAGAGAGATCCATTCTTCAAACAACATTCATTGTGAAGTGGCACTCATCCTGTTCACAGTACTTTGTCAGATGCAGTTGCTCAGTGACAATCCACAGAGGCACCTCACAAATGTATAACAGAAAATAACAAGGATGTACAGTGGGACAGATTTGCCTGCACTTACAATTAAAATTAAAATATGTGTAGATGCATTTTTGCCTATTCAGAAGTGTGTGAAAAGTTCTAAATTGGTCTTACATGGATTTTAATGAACACAAGTCTGTGAGTACAGTGAGTCAGATGTGTACTTTAATGTCAGACTAGGTAATGTCCTTCTACACTGCATGCTGGTGTTTTACGGCACAATTAGGCACAACACTAAGCCTATCAGTAATAGGGATATGCCGGTATCAAATTTTCATGTTGCGATTAATTGCTAATGCTTTTATCACGGTATGCGGTATTATCACGATATTGAAATTTAGTTTTAAAAAGTGCTGTCATAATACAGTATAACAGGTTTAATAACATTTTTCTTATAACAAAAATAACTGAACATTTAAATGCAATAAAGCAATACAGAAAAATGTATAAAGTTAAAAGTTTTACACAGATAAAAGTGCAAAAGAACTATAAAGACCAATAGGTATCACTTTACAATAAGATCTCATTAGTTAACCTTAGTTAATGCATTAACATTCACAATGAGCAATAGCTATATTTGCTACAGAAGTTATTAATCTTTGTTTAAAAAATACAAGTCTTAGTTCATGTTAGCTCATTAAATAACACAGTTGCAACTTTCGATTTTAACAACCTGTTATTAAATATTGGAATACCTAAGATTAATGAATGTTCAGAAGAAATTTTCATTGGCAGTTTGTGTTAACTAATGAATTAACTAATGAATGCATATTCATTACCGTGATATATCGCATTACCGAATACCGGCACAAGTCTAATCAGTAAACAGGGAAGATATTTTGTTTGCCCTGGGAGCATCTACTAAGTGCATCTGCCCAAGAAATGAATTCCCCAAAGCAAAGCCATAGCAACCACACACACTGACACTGATAAACCAACATTCAGAATTCAGACAAATCTGGAAATAATTTCTGTGCTGGTGGGGAAAATGGCCAGCCAATGGACTTAAAAATAAATATGTGCTGATGTGTATTTACTCTCTTGTGAAACAATCTCTTGTAATTATGTATTTGTTGCCATTCCCGTTGTAGAACACCGAATAATTATGCAAAGATTTTTAAAGAGAACAATAATGATTTTGAAGGTAAGCCTCAGCCTAAGTTCAAGTTCATGGCAGCAGATCTTTCAAAGATATTTTTGTTTTAATCAGGTGGTTATGAGAATGAGCTACTTTGTTGCACACCATTCTATTATTGAGTTCTTAATGAGAAAAATACTAGTCATGTTCATTTTAATTTGTGCTAATTAATTTTTTAGCATCAGTTATAATATATGAAAAAGGAGGTATACAACCCTGAAATAGTACCTGAAATGCATAATGAAATTTGAATGCTTACCACACAATCTCCACGCACACAGATGCTATACGGGTCTTTGTAAGAGCACCTTGTCCCATCATGCACCAGCTGCTTCATGTAAGCCACGTCACCTGTTTCTTTTGACTGGCAATAAAGATGACATCTTTTGTTGGCTGAAAATATAGAAAGACATGAAGAAATATTATTTAATAAGAAAGACCACAAATTACAGCTGGACTCAGTTACAGTATGTGCCTTTTTTCTCCTGTAGCTATATTAATAAAATAAAATAAAGTTATGAAAAGTCAATTATAACATTCAAACAATAAAAGTGGTATATAAACAAGCAGTAACACTTTAGATTAGGAAACACTATTCACTATTAACTAGTTGCTTATTAACATGCATATTACTAGCATATTGACTGTTTATTAGTACTTATAAAGCACATATTAATGCCTTATTCTGCATGACCATATTCTAGATCCCTTAACCCTACTCCACACCCAAACATAACTACTACGACAAACTTACTATCAATAAGCAGTTTATTGAGGGGAAAACTCTTAGTTAATAGTTAATGCTCCGTAATCTAAAGTGTCATCAATCAAAAATTTGTACTATAATATAATATTAAAGTAAAATTAAAATGAATGTGCTTTTTTAGGTCTTAATCTCCAAGTTTTGAACTAATCAATTATTCATATGCATTAAAAAATGACTTTTAATGTAACTTTTGCAACACAGTTCTGACATCTGCCACCCGATTAAACTCTTGAACTTATAATAATAACTTAAAATAGTATATAATACCATTAGAATAACTCCCTAAAATGTTTAGCATATGCTAATTAGGTTTCACATTGCAACTAGTTGCTTCTCATGGGTTCCAAGTAAAGAGAAAAAAAGCACAAATGTTTAAAAGGAGAGTTTATGCAAAAATCAAAATTCTGTCATCATTTACACACCCTTATGTTCATCCAAAAAAAGTAATACAAGTTTGAAATGACATGAGGGTGAGTAAATGATGACAGAATTTTCAGCACATAGTAATGGAATGCAATGAAATGAACGTGTGGTGGTTGAACCACTGGTGGTGGTTGAGGAGAGACCCCCCCACATGATTGTAAAAAGCGCTTTGGGTGTACAACAATACACAATAAAGCGCTATATAAATGCATCATTCATTCATTCATTCATTCATTCATTCAATATTAACGTGCTAATGTAGACAACACTAGGAGACCTTGTGGAAGTGTTTGGTCAAGTAACGTGAAAAATTTAAGGGGGTCTGAATACTTTCCGTACCCACTGTATATTTTGCTGACTTGTGTACTTACATTATCTAAAATGTTTCGAAGAATGTTTAAATCCAGAGGAATAAGCAGTTTTAACTAGTGACACGGACCGTGTCCATAGCTCGTTTCGCTTCGATGGCTTTCAGCCTCACCCTGCTTCATTCTACTACGTTAATAAATCATTAGCTCATCCACGAACATGATTTCTGCCCGAGTCCCATCAGATTGCATCGGCTGTGGGGATGAAGACGACAACTCCCATGATTCCACACTCAGTCACGGCGTCATCAAACTACGCCTTTGTTTCTTTGTTTATTTTGAATTCGCGCCCTCTAGCAGCGAAAATTACATATTGTGCCTTTAATAAATAATTATGAAGCATGCCTTCACAATTGTTGAATTCTGTGGATTAATTCTACAACTGAATAATGCACACATAATCCTGCCTCACCTTAGTAGGACTTGTAAAAGCCAGCATACAGACCACAATAAAAATTTTTTAGTTTTTACACTTTAAAATAAAGTGATTAATATTTTTTAATTTTAAAATAAAATTGATTCACATACTTCAATTACATTTGAATGTTCGTGATCTGTTAAGTGTTATTAAGATGTATACAGTGATAATATAATGAATGTATAATGAAAAACAATGTGTTTATAGAAAGTGTTAAAACTTAAATACTTGAAATTCATTTGTTGTGTATCCAAAAAAGGATTACATGCCGAGATAACAGCAATTTTCTTTATTATTACAAAGTTCAAAAAGTGCTCAGTGCATTAAAAAATCTACTACTACATCTGGAGGTGGCTTCCCAGCAATCAATAGCCGTCATTTCAACATCTCGGTTAAGCATAGACCCGATATAGTCTGGCTATGTGTAACCCACTTCTAGCCCAAATAACCTTGAATTTGGTTTCATGTCGTTTTTTGGCTAAATAACTTGTGAGATGGTTGATATCTCATCATGTTCGCAGTGTCAATAATATCTACAAAGATATAAGTGTCATTTCATGACATGGTCTATATGTAGCCACGATTTCGCTCTAAATTAGACGGGCTACTTGTAGTCTGCTTTTAGCCCACCTGGCGAAATCGAGGCAATCTGTGGTCTAATTTTAACGGCTTGGCTATAGCCCTATACCTGTAACCAGACCAGCGATGAGCATAGCCAAAATAGCCTTAAGATTGTTTACATGTAATTTTCGCCCACGCAGCTTATCAAATGCAAGTAAACTTTTGAATAATTTAAATTAGCATTATGCCAAAAATAATTTAATTATTTTACAGCATTATTAAATATAGCATTATTTATTATGCCAAAAATAATGCTAATTTAAATGTTTCAAAAGTTTACTTGCATTTGATAATATGATGTCATGCATCCCACAAGCTGTTTAATGTTACATTCATACACATGATATGATATTATTGATATTCGGATAGTCTTTCATTTTATAAATAAAAATGCACAAAGCATAAAAGCGCATCCGGCCGGGCGCAAACCAGCTTCTGCTCTTCAGTAGCGCTCTGTGTATGTGTCAGTCTATTTACTGTTGTCTGTCAGTCCACAAGCATTCAAAAGAATATGTCAAAGTCTAAACTAATATCTATGGTGAGCAAACGGCATTACAGACGTTGTGTGCCTCCCTGCCAACGCTATCTGGCAGCGGGGGATACACAAGATCTGTGTGTTGTTTGTTTAGGAGCGGAGCATGCACGGTCAGCTTTCGAGGGAGCTGATTGTCTTCACTGCGAGTTACTCTCGCTGCGTATGCTCCGCTCTCGCCTGGCTGTGTTTGAGGAGAGCGGCGAGGCTCACGATCCCGCTGGCAGCGGTCCCGCTGTTGCGCAGGCACGGCGTAGACTGTTGTCGTGGGGATCGCAGGTGGATTTAGCGGAGGGATCCGAGACGGGCTCGTCCTTTTCTCTATCCTCACCCGCTAGATCCGCGGCTCTCTCTCAGGGTTCGGAAGAGAGAGCCAGACGCTTCATCTATCTTCCTCCGAGAGCAAACAACAGAACAAACACAGCTTTGACAAAGATTAATCCATATTAATTTATACCGTGAACACACTCAGAAGAATTGGAGAAACTGAGGAGGAGTTTCAACATCTGGAAAAGCGGTTGGAAATTGAAAAGATCCGGGCAGCAATGGTAAAAAACAAAAACAAAAACAAAAAAAGCTCTCCAAAACAACATTTCCTTGAGAAATATCCTTAAGATTTATTTTGAAACTTCCAAATTGATAGTAAAGATTAAGAATACAAATTATTTAAAATGGCAATACTACTTTTTAGTTACAGCAGCTATCACTGTGTTGTTATGAAGTCAGTTGTGCCAGACCATTTTGGAGGCAGAGACAGATTGTGGGGGGCACTAATAGGGAAAAACTTAAACTGCTGGAATAAAGAGTTTTAAAGGGATAGTGATGGAAAACTTGCTGGTCAATGGGCATCAATGTTTAAGGCTGGTAAACACTTGTACACGGACGCATATAATACTACCCGCCTGACATTGGCATGTGTTATTCAGGTGTCAAAGTTGTGCAGAATTGAAGGAAGAAACCACAAAGACAGTGCCAGAAGGATGCTGGACAGGTAAAGCCTTCAAATCTTGCCACATTAATCAAACAGTGAGTTGTCAATACTCAATAAGTTACAACGCAAATCAGAAATTAAAAAAATAATTCCTTTACTGGTCATTTTAAAATGTCAAACTTTGTCCGCAATTGTTAACCACCTCAATCTGTATTATATTTTAGGGTTTTAAAAAAATTCCCTCATGTCCAAATTCAACATGAAGGGGGGTGGTTCGCTGCAGAAAGAGGCATTTGAAAAGTGCACTGTTCTCGGTCATTAGAGGTGTGTGTATAAAACACACAACATTTACCAGAGAGCTTCTCTCTTTTTTAACACACTGAATGGTGATATATCTCATATATCTCGTTTTTGTTTTTAGTAGGCATCCAAGCAAAAGAGAATGACTCCCTGTCACAATTAAAGTAAAAAAAAAATTATGTCAAGCTTTTCTTGTTTTTGTTTTTTTTTCTTATTTAGCAGATACTGTGATGACCAACTTCAGCAAACAGCAACAGAGTTGGACTTGAGGAATGCAGTTGGGAAGCATTTTAAACAAGAAATAAAACCAATAATTAATAATTTCCTTTAAGTTCACTGTTGGTTGTTTTATTTGTTAAAATAAGTAAACCAACAAAAGGATTAATCTTTTTTTTATGTTGTCATTTATGTTTTAATGTTAAGTGTGATAACATGCTCTTGATTTGTATTAGATTTTTTTTTCTTTTAAATATCTTAAGTTGTTAAAAAAAATTTTTTTTATCATTTTGTATTGTCTTAAGTTGTCCAAGTTGTTAAAAATTTTATTTTTCTTAATAAAAGATGTATATTTAATTTGTTATTAGACGTCTATTACATTTTCACTGACAGCCCAAATTTAGCCTTGTTTTAGCCTAGACGTCTGGGCTGTGTTTAGACGGCTAATAGACGTCTTTTAAACGCAAAATTGCTTGCTGGGTTTCAGTGATGTTTCTCACTGGCTTTATTGTTGAGCAATGTGGGATTTTCATTTTATGTGTAACTCAAAAGTGCATTTCTCATCATACTCAAAACTGTAATAGAAGCATGTATATAAAGCCCAAAAACAAAAAGCAAAGGGCAGAAAACATCACATGAAGTGACTGCAGTAAGTGCAAAGTTTGAGAAAAGGCTTTACAATTACACTGTCACTCTGCATGTGAGGGCACTCTAAAGGCCTTCACTTCTTGAGCTGAACACAAAAGTGGACTTGACCACAATTTGAATGGATGTGCTGTGGCTCTCCCAGGAGAGAGGATGCATTTACAAGCTGTGTGTGTACGAGCAGCTATGCTGGTCTCTGCTGATTATGCTACACAGTCTCTGCTCCTCCAAAACATGGAGTGCCAGTATAGTAAATGTATACTAGACGCAGAGAGAATCTGTTGACTTACTGTGTCGGCATTAAAATTAGTGCTTGGCGAAATGACGGCATATACTGTTTAATTAACATGTGAGAAACATGGAGCAATGCAAAAATTAAAAACAGGATGCGACACAAAAAAGACAGGCAAGAGCCATATACCAGTATGGTTAGGCACAATGCATCCTAGAGTTTAGTTGTTTATGGATTCCAAACAATGTGTTTCAGCAAAAATAATATACTTCATTATAAGAATCAATACAATATCTATACACTATTAACCATCAAGTCTCTCAACAAAGAGCGGTAGTGTTTTTTTTCTATATATAGTAAAATCAACATGTTGAAATCAACCATTTAATATTTCTTCATCTTTCTTACTTCGATTATGTCATGGGATTGTAGCCCTTGAGTACATAGATGTTTTCTTTTTGTCTGATTTTCAAATACTTAATGCACTTCAGTACCGATTTTTAAATTCCTAAATTCAAGTTTGTAATGTTGTGATTCACTTCATAGCTGGTAGGTTTGGTCAATGTATTAAAACTCTTTTAATACTTTTTTAAATTTTATGGGAAAAAAAGTTCTGGAAAAAAATACTACCAGAACAAGGCTGCTGAAAAAGTGGGCAGGCATTGTTGCACTCTGTTTCAGTGCTCTTGGAACACCAATTCTCCAATCGAACACAACAACCTAGGAACTATCTGTTACAATATAAACATATTTCCTCAAATTACACTGACTTAAAATCTGACAAACTCACCATCTGAGTGTTCGTAGGGAAGCCAATGGTGTTTGGCGTTCTGGTATTCAAAGTGGGAGTTGCGAAGTTGACATTGCTGGGCTCTGAAGTCCTCAAAGTGTTTGGGGCAATCATCTATGTTACACAGCTGGTACTCATAGTTCACCCCTGGACAGTCCTGACCTCCATTAGATGGACTAACAGATAACAGATAATGTTCAAACAAACATCCACAGATTACTTTAAACATTCAAGTCTGTGGTTTAAAAAGCAGTCAATAATCAAGGTTAATCAAAATAAAGTTCAAATGAATCACTTCAATGAACAAGTCTGGCATAAACAGATATTAGAAACGCATCTATTCCTTCTTTCACCCAATAAAATATTTAGATCTGGATACAGACTATCTAATCAATGTTCGGATGGAATGGCAAACAATGCAAAATATGTATTACATTTTTATAAAAGTTTAAAGCACTGCAGCTTTCATCATTGAGCCTAACTTTGAATTTTCAATCATGCATATTCTCTATAAGTGCGAGCATCTGCACAACTCAAATGCTGTTTCACAGGTCCTTAACGAACACTCCTCACAACTAGCACACTAATGCGCTGGCATAAAAAAAAGCTAAATTCCTAGCTCTCTTGCTTCCTTCATTTTCAAAGCACGCATGCTAATTAAGAAGCAACCACTCATTTGCTCAGCACAAAAAAAAATACTGTCCTCCTCGAAAAGAAAATGACACTTAGGATGGCAAAGATGGTAGCTCCTCCGATTAAAAACACCCTGTGCAGATGTTTCTCAATAAAAGACATCTATGAATGTAAACAGGTAATCAGATGATTTCATGCTTTTATGAAATCTCTATCATTACGAGAAAAATGAGCAGGCCCAATGCAGAGTTTATATGGTTTTAAATATTATAGTTATTGGAATAATACTGATATAAAGCACAAACTGTCCTTCATATCAAAAGAATGCAAAGGTTGTGATTAACCTTTCGTCTTATTGGCTAGAGTCAATCATGTTCAACCATGCTGGCCTGTATGCTTTATTTCTAGACAGTTTTTTCATTTCAACGAAACTGCAACCATTCATATGATGATCGAATCTGATTATGGAAAGTACACTAGGGTGCCCGTGATCTTCATGAGCAATCCTGACTGTGCATACAGTAGATAACATACACAGGGTTGTTGCACTGGCGGGTTCTGAAGCGGACGCCTGTCCCGCAGGAGCGAGAACAGGAGCCATACTTGCTCCAGGCACTCCAGGCTCCATCTTGCTTCACTTGGTTGGCATTCTTCCACATGCAGTGACCTTTGTAGCACCACTACGAGGGGAAGGAGTGAGACAGAATCAAATTGGGCACAACAGGACAAAACAGGTCTGGCAAAATGTGGACACATGAAATTACCTTTCCAGGTGCACATTCAGTCCCGTCCAATGGAGGCCCTTTTTTGGTCTTGCAGAAGTAAGGATTATCTGGATGACTGCACCACAGCTGCTTGCATGGATCAAATGTACGAAACTGAAGAGAGAGAAAAGTGCCCTTGGTTGGATGCTTGGCATTTTAAGAGAGAGAGTTAGAAAGAATTAAATGGCAAGACAAATATAAAAGAATTTTGAACTTTCTTGCCCGAACTACAATTCCACCAGAGATAAGCCCCGACAATCCTTTTCCTCTTAGGAACGTGCTTGAGCTGAGATTCAACATAAAAACAAAACTGAATTGATTTTTTTGGCTGCCAGTGGCACTCTGGAGCTTCTGCTACTGCTAGACACCCAGGAAATTAATCTGAGAATGGAAAAGAGAGAAAATGCCCCTTTTTTCATACATTTTTCTGTTTACTGCAATTGACACATTGAGTATGTTCCTAATGCCTGATTGTGTCATCTGAGTCAAGTGAGATTCCAAAACAAAAAACGAGTGTATATGTTCAGTCTGAAGGAACAAATATTCATAGATATTTCAGAATGAAAGTTACCCATAAGTCACTGCGCGCCACCTGACACTGTGTCTACACCAGCATTGTGACGCAACAGCTTGAGGCGGTCTACACACGTCAAAGCAAACTTTGCAAATCCATTTGTGATTTTGTCAAAAGACAGTATCACTAATTGTCGCATTGTGCGGCTCACGTCCAGTGTAGACTGTATAAGTATTTTGGCCACAATACATCCATTAAAAAGGATATGAGGTTCCTCTTCAGGAACTCGAGCTGCGTCGGAAACGCTAGGGGAACGCCTTCTGTGACCACGCTCTGAATAACATGTGAAATCAGTCCAATAGCTCAGAGACTTGGAAGTCTGGCGGCGTGGGCATTCTCGTTCCCCTAGCGTTTCCGACGCAGCTCGAGTTCCTGAAGAGGAACGTCTCAGGTTATGTATGTAACCCTAGTTCCTCGAGGGAACGAGACGCTGCGTCTCTGTGCCATACTTCCGGCGTCCCTGCCGGCGTTTGCTTCATTCCTAGAAGCTGACGCTGGCTCCGCCGCACGTGCTTTTATAGCTTCCTGGTCATGACGTCACCCGCCCGTGACGTCCCGCTCAGCTATTGGACTGATTTCACATGTTATTCAGAGCGAGGTCACAGAAGGCGTTCCCCTAGCGTTTCCGACGCAGCGTCTTGTTCCCTCGAGGAACTAGGGTTACATACGTAACCTGAGACGTTCTGATGGTTTATTTGGCTTAATTCACCTCAGCTGTGGTTTCTATACAGTTGTTTGTTGGTATAAAGCACATGAGAAGAGAACATTACAATGCGATTTTTATGACCATCGGTCACGATTAACCAAATTACATTTCGCTTTAAATGTAAGGGCAACTGTAAAACAGTAATTCATCACTAAATTTAGGGGGTTTGATTATGACAAATAAATGTGATTCGGAATGCAGCTAAAGTGAAGATATTTTCAGAAATTACAACATTGTCCATTGGAGGCTGATACACACAGCTGGACTTCTGTTTACTACTCTTTTTCATTAAACACAGCAGGAGTTTGTAGCACACACATTACAATATGAAGGATCGAAACAGTATTTTGCAGGATATTATTTCTTGAAAAAGAAAAATACACAGAAATGTAAACAAATTATTAAAATGGCAGTCTGGAATACAAGACTGGGAGAGGAAACTAATAGCTGACAGCTGAAATACTAGGTTCATCTTTGAGCTCTGTGCTTCACCAAAATAGTGTTGCATATTTACAATGCCGTGTGGAGTAGGAAGGCTCAGACATACGGTTAATAAATGGATAGATGTGCCCAAAGGAGAAATGGCACTATGTTGTAGGCATAAATAGGAAAGACTGTTTCTGTAAAATGAACTTTCATTTAAAGCCCCTAACAAGTCTCTTGGCAAGCAGCTGGACTAAAGGATATCAGTTGTCTTTAGCTGTCACTGGCTCAGGGCTTTCTATCTTTTATGCACTGCACTCTGGGAGAGGACCAATAAGTGCAGCCAGTTTCGATTACTTCTGTCATGTTATTAAAGCTGGCATGAAATGCAAATCACCCTATTTTCTAAATGCAAGTTATTGATTTGTTATTGTGAATAATTCATGCGTGAATTATTATTATTTTATTTTGTAATTCTAAATCAAAATGTCATAACTCCAGTGAAATGATAGGCTTCTCTCTAGTGATGAACTTCTCCAATCATTTTTCCATAATCATAATTGGATGTATGTTACAATACAGAAAAAAATATATTTTCTGTTTAATTTCAACTTCAATACATACAAATTAACAAAATAGTTCAGCCAAAAATAAATTAGTCATTTTTCATCTCCATGTTGATCCAAACACTTCTCTCTTTCTTTTGTGGCTACTGTATGATTTTAAATGAACAGAAACATAGCTTTTATGATTTTATAGCTTTTCATGATAGAGATTTTACATCCTTTACATCCGCCCAAGCTTCAAGACCTCAGTCAGCATTCATTGTAAATGCACATAAAAACACAACCAGAAAAAAAATCTGAATGCGATGTTCAGTTGTTTGTTTAGTGCTCTACTAAAAGTAAGTCAAACAGGTTTGAAACAACATGAAGGTGAAGAAACTGACAGAATTTCATGCATGTGCCAAATGTAGCTCCTTGTTCGTTACAGATATGCTTATAACTACTAGTGTTCATTTTGTCAGCCATTTTTAAATTTATTCTTAGTCTTAGTCTTTTAAATTAGTCTTAGTCCTGGTGTCAAATGTACCTTTTTTAGTTATTATCATATTAAGTCAACCTTGTCCCGTTTTTGCTTTACTAAATGTCTGAGCATTTTAGTCTAGTTTTAGTCAATGAAAACTTTGTCACATTTTTGGCATGCTTTATAATAGTTAAACAGATTTTTTTTTTTTTGAGAAATTTGAGAAATGTATTTTTACATTTCATTTTACATTTTTTCAATATTTTAACAGTAAAATTCCTAATAGTAATTCCAATATTTCCAAATTGCAATAATGTTTCTCTATTAAAACAACAGCGGTTGAGTAAGTGCATTTAGCAACCACAATCGCAAACAAAATAGCCGAGATCTCATGACAGAACACAGACTGGCTGAATGATACTTTCATTTAAGCTGAACATCTCACATGGAGAACGCTAAACTTCAGCAGTGTTTTCAGATCATCATCGGCACTTCCGCAATGAAGAACGAGTGCATATGCATGGTTGCCAGATAGCAAAATATAAAGCAAAACACTGGGCAGAAAATGTATCCTTTTAAAGGTGGGGTATGTATTTTTTCAAAAACACTTTAGAAAACTGAGTCGGGCCGAGTACCAAAACAAACTTGTAGCCAATCAGCAGTAAGGGGCGTGTCTACTCGTGATACGGAGGAGAGAGTGCTTAGTGCACAGGACGGACATTAGCCGAGTTTCTGTTGGGGATTTGTCGTGTCACGCCGTGCCACATCCAGTGTAGACAGTATCACTGATTATAATGAGTTCTATGGTATTTTGTCGCGACGCCCGCTTGCGTCCGGTGTACTGTAGACACAGTGTAACATTGGTTTCACAGAACTAATCGTTGCCTGGGTTGTGTACGTATGTGTGGGGCGGAGCTATCAAAATAGGGGCGAGACCCTTTTGGGGTAGGGCATGTTTGTTTTGGTGATTTGAAATATCAACATTGGCTACCAGAAATCACTTGCCCCACCTTTAACAGAGAAGCTCTGATTTGCGGATTTGAACTTTTGCAACTGCACACATGAAAGCTCGTTTAGTAGAGGTGTGTACAGCAGTCTGTAATAATATTTTGTATAAGTTATTTCAACGAAAACTGAAAAAAATCTTTGGTAAAGTTTTTATTTTTTAAAATACATTTTAGTCTCACCAATATCGTCAACGATATTGCATGCTGATAAAGTCACAGTTATCGTTTTTTGACCTTACTGTCATCTCGTCATCATCTCATCTTAGTCATAGGAAAAAGCTCGTCAACGAACATTTTTCATCATACTTTGCGTTAATGAAATGAACACTAATAACTACACAGTCATGGAATAAAAGATGAAAAATTACCTTTTTTGTACCACAACCTCCTCAGAGAGCTAATTAAAATGTCACTCTGCAGAAGGGAGAGGCAACAAATAGTTCTTTACAAATATTTTGTTTACAAGCCCATTACAAACTAATTGTTTCTATCGACACTGACAACCACTTTTTTCATGTCTTCAGAGAAACAACTGTTTAAAGCATGATTAGTGGGTCATAGAACATTTCATGGGGATGTGAGTTTTTGCTGGGCTGTGGTGCACAGCTTGGCACAGATTGTTTAGGCATGACAGAGGGGCTGAGAGGAAGGATCACAGCATGCTGTTCTTGTTTACTAGTGTTACAGCCTTTGATGACAGAATGCCAAACATCTTGCCATCTGCTGGTTCTCAGTGTCATGCCATAAACCAGGTGTGAGACTCTTTTCTCTGACTCTATACATGTGATTGGGACTTTGCAGCACCTATTCATTTCCCACTTGAAAGAGTTTAGAGCTGAGGGTTTGGGGGGTTAACAGCACATAAAATAACATATTCAGCTGTGATTCAGTAATTCAAAGGCCAGAAACTAATATTGAAATATTATAACAGACACATGCATTTCTTTAAATGTTTTCATTCATAAATGAAATTTGGCATATAAATATTTAAAAAATATTTGAAGCACTTCCAGCTAAAAAACCTTGGACAGAGACCTCAACGAGGCATTTGTTAAAAAACAAAAATAATAAAAAGACTGGATTTTTGGTGCTTGCTTTAATGACTGATATTTTTCAGATCTGTCAAGGGAGAATATAGCCATACTCACTGAAGTACAGATTTTGTATCCAACTCCAAAATTGCTGGTTCTCAGTGTCAGGCCATAAACCAGGTGTGAGGGTCTTTTCCTTGACACCGTACATGTGATTGGGACTTTGCAGCACCTATTCATTTCCCACTTGAAAGAGTTTAGAGCTGAGGGTTTGGGGGGTTAACAGCACATAAAATAACATATTCAGCTGTGATTCAGTAATTCAAAGGCCAGAAACTAATATTGAAATATTATAACAGACACATGCATTTCTTTAAATGTTTTCATTCATAAATGAAATTTGGCATATAAATATTTAAAAAATATTTGAAGCACTTCCAGCTAAAAAACCTTGGACAGAGACCTCAACGAGGCATTTGTTAAAAAACAAAAATAATAAAAAGACTGGATTTTTGGTGCTTGCTTTAATGACTGACATTTTTCAGATCTGTCAAGGGAGAATATAGCCATACTCACTGAAGTACAGATTTTGAATCCAACTCCAAAATCGAAGCGACACTGCTCATCCATGGAGTAATTGATGCCGGGAAGTTCAGGGAGCTGCGGCCAGTCATGTTTGAAGGGATCGTCCAGCAGGCAGTCATATGAACTTTGAAAAACAAACAAAGTTACTAGAGCTGTTTAAGTAACCCAATAAATGTTTAATTTAATGTTTAATGAATGTTTAATGTTTAATTTAATGTTTAATGATTGGCCCTATAAACTTTGGAAGCCACTTCTAAAGTTCAGTAGCAAATGGTAAGCATAAAGTGGACAGTATGGTGTAATGAAAATGAGACTGATACTTTCTAGATGATTCAGATGATTCATATCATTAAACGGAGCCAATACTGAACCCACAAAGAACTGAATCAATCATACTTCCTAATATCCATGCAATAGATAATTTACATTAAATCTTCAAAATCCTGAAGTGCTGAGTAAAGCCAGAACATGCAGAGAAAGTGTTCAAACTTTCAAACCACAAATAGATTTTGAACTTCAAAAGTTTCCTTCTGCCACTGGCTAATTTAAGCGGAGGCCAGTGATGAGCTGCACAAGGATTTCCAGTGAAAGTCAACCCTTTTATTATCAGAAATAAATCTGTCTCATCAGCAGCATTTCTTTATGAGCACTGTTCAGGTTAAAGGTGATGCAAGAGTTGAGTTCTGAGTAAAAAACAAGAACACAAATAGAATGTACTGGTAAATGCAGATGCACACGCCATTTAGCTTCTGAAAATGAATCGATTTGCTTGGTGTGAATGGAAAAATCATTAATTTGACACTGCTCAAAGGCTACCGAGAATAGTGACCACTTCAAACTCAATAGACAATGCTGAAAAGGCTTTTCCTGTCCTAGAGAGCTACTCACTCATTTGTATTGGCTGCAGTAAATTGCCAAGATTCATGGATAATTTACATTCCATCAGCCCTTGGCCATGGCGGGATTAACCCTGAACATGGAACAGTATATAAATGTGAAAATCCTTAAGTGGCACTAGATATCTTCTGAACTGATTGAGTGAATCAATGAGGGTTAAATTGAGAGGTTTATTAGAGAAACCCGTAACCTTTAGACAAATGGTTTTCAATCTTGGTCCTGGGGACCCACCTCTCTGCATATTTTGCATTTCTCCCTTATTTAACACACCCGATTCAGATCACCAGCTCATTAGGTGAGAGCTGCATGAACTCAGCTGAGTGTGTCAGATAAGGGAGACATACAAAATGTGCAGAGTAGTGGGTCCCCAGGACCAGGATTGAAAAACACTATTTTAGACTAGAATATAATGTGAATAGGGGTCTTAGTCTGCTGACTGATAACACCATCTCATTAATTACAGTTTTTTTCTTTGATAATTCATATATTTATACTTGCCATGGTCTTTTCTTAAAGGGATAGTTGACCTGAAAATGAAAATTCTGATTCTGATTCATAAGTTTTGTCCATATCATCAGGGGTGCACATAAGTGGTGCACATGTGCGACCAAAATAAAAATAAAAAATGCACTGGATAAATAAGTTTAGACCGCTCATTTGCGTACCAACATGATTGACAGCTGTTAATGTACAATCAACATTTTAGATCAACTAACAGTAATAATGTATAAGATTTCTATTCAAACTAAAAGCATAAATCTAGGCTTCACTTACGCTCTTCACCCGGCAGTGCTAAAACCCAGCAGCGCATTATATAGTATTTACTTACTGGAAACCCGGCAAAATAAAAGCTTGCTGATTTTAGGTTTAAAAATAATGAAAATTAATATTAAAAAAAAGATAAAAATTAAAATGTAAGTATTAGCATTGTATTTTTAAGTGTACTATTAAATAATTGTATTTTTATTTAATACTCACTTTTTATTTTAAAATATAATAGTATTATCACACTCAGTTTATTATTTTGTTTATTATTTTATTTAAAAATACAAAATAAAGTACAATAATACTATTATCACTATTATTAATTGTTTTATTTTTATAGTTTTTTATATTTAATGAGTCACACTGTGCAGTGTGAGCACCAAACCAAATCTCCAGGTGCTCTCATGAGAACCAGACTGAAAAACTTCTGTGCACCCCTGCATATAATGATAGTCAGTGGGGTCCAAAACAGCACTGGACACAATTTACTTTTATTATATAGAAAACAAATCCACAGAGTCATTTATCAAATATAGTTGTGTGTGTGTGCGTGTGTGTGTGTGTGTGTTCCACAGAAGAAAGTAAGTCATACAAGTTTGGAACCACATAAGGGTGAGTAAATAATGACAGAAATTGCATTTTCAAATCAATATTACTTCTAAATCGTCTGGCAATGACTTCAAAGGAGGTTCAGATTCAAAACAGCTATTAAAAAGAGCTCAAACACATTTGTAAAGTGCTTCTTACAAAAACAAAACCATTGCAAGAGGTGATTAGTTAATATGCCACTAGAGCAATGGAGCAAATGCCATCATCATCATCATGGCTAAAGCAGCAATTACAATTTGCTTTAGAGTTAATCCCTGTTGGTCATGTTGTCTGTAAACTCTAGGATATCATGACAATCTACTGAGCAGTTAAATTAATTCAGGTAAACAAACAGTCAACTGAACTGAAGGTGGCACTAAACAAAGCAGAGCTCCAAACAAAACAAGGGCCAATATTTATGCTCAAGTAACCCATGAGAAATAAATAAATATCATATCATATCAATTATATTATATTATATTTATATCAAAATATAAATACAATATCATAGGCATACCTGTGAAGAGACACGTTTTCATTTAAAATATGCACACGAGTTCAAGGCCTTCTAGTTTTCTGGATAAAACTTTATCAAATATAGTTGTGTGTGTGTGCGTGTGTGTGTGTGTGTGTTCCACAGAAGAAAGTAAGTCATACAAGTTTGGAACGACATAAGGGTGAGTAAATAATGACAGAAATTGCATTTTCAAATCAATATTACTTCTAAATCGTCTGGCAATGACTTCAAAGGAGGTTCAGATTCAAAACAGCTATTAAAAAGAGCTCAAACACATTTGTAAAGTGCTTCTTACAAAAACAAAACCATTGCAAGAGGTGATTAGTTAATATGCCACTAGAGCAATGGAGCAAATGCCATCATCATCATCATGGCTAAAGCAGCAATTACAATTTGCTTTAGAGTTAATCCCTGTTGGTCATGTTGTCTGTAAACTCTAGGATATCATGACAATCTACTGAGCAGTTAAATTAATTCAGGTAAACAAACAGTCAACTGAACTGAAGGTGGCACTAAACAAAGCAGAGCTCCAAACAAAACAAGGGCCAATATTTATGCTCAAGTAACCCATGAGAAATAAATAAATATCATATCATATCAATTATATTATATTATATTTATATCAAAATATAAATACAATATCATAGGCATACCTGTGAAGAGACACGTTTTCATTTAAAATATGCACACGAGTTCAAGGCCTTCTAGTTTTCTGGATAAAACCGAGAGAGGTATGAGAAGAGAGAAGTGTGAACTCACTGAATGTATCTCTTCAGCTCTTGCCCACTGCACATCGACCAGTGGTAGCGGTGGAAGGCTGCTTGCACCAGAGGGGCCATGACACTTCCCATGGCTGTTTCGTCAACGCAGCGGTTGCCCTGCCCGTCATGCTCCATTCCCAGTCTACAGACAAGGCATGATTATGGTAAGTAGGAACATCTCAGTGCAGCAATGGCCAGAAGTAACATTTTCTACTCCAATTACCATAGCTATATCTGCATAAGGGACGCACCTCCGGCAACTCCCTAATACTGGGTATGAAATTACAATATGACCAGGCGAGACACAACAAAGCAATGAAAGCTGTTTTTGGTGTTAATCTGAATCTTTTGGCTAACTAGCTGTGACAATTTGTCAGTCGTTTTGGTCATTTTTGCAGCACTGCAGCGAGTAGCCCCGCCCACACTGAAGTCTGATTGGACCAAAATCTCACTTCTCATGTATATTAATCATCAAACATGAATAAGCCTAGAAGAGATTCTGAGAAACAAACAAATATACTTACATATACGCATACATAATCATTTACACTACTGCTCAAAAGTCAGGGGTCAGTAAGATGTTTTTCTTGTTTTTTAAACAAGTCATTTATGTTCACCAAGGCTATATATATATATTTAGTTTTATACTTCAATAGCAGAATTTTTTAGCAGCCATTCCTCCAGACTTCAGTGTCACACAATCCTTCAAAAATTATTGTAATATGCTGATTAAGTGCTCAAGAAACATTTCTTACTATTATCAATGTTGAACACAGTTGTGCTGCTTAATACTGTCTGTGGAAACCATGATAATTTTTTTAGAAAGTTCAAAAGAACAGCATTTTTTAAACAGATATATTGTAGAATATTATAAATGCCTTTACTGTCACTGTTGATAAATTTAATGCATCCTTCCTAAAAGTATTCATGTCTTTCAAATCTTACTGACCTCAAACTTTTGAACGGTAATGTATTTCAGTCAGTAGGTTTCTACACTTTTTGCATATCTGACAATGAAGTATTGCTTATTTAATGAGAAAATATATTCTTAAATCACAAATGTCAAACAGATGGAGAAGTTTGCATGGGGACTGGTATGAAAACAGGAAGGACAGAGGCTTAAGAGGGAATCAATTTTATGTGGCTGCCAGCCAGAAAATGCCAATCTCAGAGGTCCTGACATCTCACTTCGAATTAAATAAAATGTTATTTCAGTCTGTGATAATGCCAAACTGAATCAAAGACTATCAATAGCAAGGTGGTGAGATGCAGCAGAGTAATGATAGTTTACCAGCCTTTGTCATGTGCTCAATGAAAACTGGATAAAAGCATTTGAAAGAAAGAGATAAACAGATAGAGACTGAGACGTTTGAGAGGGTAAAGTCCTGGACAATAGTTTCAAAATGGAGAAGAAGATAAGGAGGTTGACTCCATGACTAATCTCTGTGTAGGTGGTGAGTTTTTCTGAAACCCTTTTGAATGTTAGATGCCTACAGACTTTAAGCAACTGTTGTCAAAGGAGGAATTGAAACCCACAAAAGGGATCTGGCAAGACAGTGGCCAAGGACTCTTAAGCATGAGCTCAAAAATTAACACGAGAGATGTTTTGAACAACGTAAGAGACTGACTTTAAATCAAGGAAGATGATAAGGACAAAATATGATCTATCAAATATCCTGACATAACCAAGTTCACTTGTATGAGACATTGACATTTTTGTGTCCGAAGTGTTACCCTGAATAGAGCCCTAACCTTGAGAGCATAAAGTACATTAGCTATGGGATTTCATCTGAAAACATGTATATGCTTTAAATCAGTATCAAAACTTTTTTTGAATTAAAATGAGAAATCACAAATAAAACATCAACTATAGTGACAAAAAACACTTGATAAAAGCTAACATCAATCTGAAATGGCTGAAAAGCCCCTGTTCGCGTTTAAAAACCTACACATGTCCTGTCTCATGGGCTACAACAAAGGCAGAAGAGAAGCCGTCTTCATGATTGAGGGTACAGCTGCGGACAGGGTGGCACATCCCGGTGACAGGGGCATATCCTGAGAGTGAGTGAGTGACAGAGACAGACAGAGAGGATGAAACAGTTACTAGGGTTTATTTATTCTGTCATAACTTGCCTATTGAGTCTACATTCTGACAGCTTGCTGCTTGGTGTAATTGTCATACTTTGAGCAGAGCGATGCTGACAACTCTGCAAATGGTTGTCCATCAGAATCCATCAAGTAGTCAAGACACCTTTATTTATATAGCGCTTTTAACAATACAGATTGTGTCAAAGCAACTGTACAGCATTAATTAGAAAATAGTGTCAATAATGCAAAATGACAATAGTAAACACTCAGTTAAAGGCAGTTCATCATTGAATTCAGTCATGTCATCATCCAGCTCATTTCAGTTTAAATAGTATCTGTGCAGCATTAATTTGGAAAATAGTGTGTCAATAATGCAAAGTGACAATAGTAAACACTCATTTTTCAGTTAAAGGCAGTTCATCATTGAATTCAGTGATGTCATCATCCAGCTCAGTTCAGTTTAAATAGTATCTGTGCAATCAAGTCGACGATAACGCTGGTAATTAAGTGTCCCCAACTAAGCAAGCCAGAGGCGACAGCGGCAAGGAACCAAAACTCCATCGGTGACAGAATGGAGAAAAAACCTTAGGAGAAACCAGGCTCAGTCGGGGGGCCAGTTCTCCTCTGGCCAGACGAAACCAGCAGTTCAGTTCCAGGCTGCAGCAAAGTCACATTGTGCAGAGGACTCAACTGGTTCCTGTGGTCTTGTCCCAGTGGCCGTTTAGGAGACAATAGGATTTTTTTTGTTGGTTTCTTTCACTTGTTTTAGTCTGTTCTCTAGAGTTATGGCATGTATTGGACCTATCTATCTATCTATCTATCTATCTTTCTATATATATATATATATATATATATAAATAATGGAACATTTAACCCTTAAAAATATAAATAAATAAATACAATTAATTAATAAAATGTATCATATTTTATACATAAGGATATTACATTATGATAAAAAGCCATAAACATTCAAATAAACACAAATGAACCTTCCTCAAAAGCTTGATGTATCATATTTGAAACTCACATTTTAACATGATTTTTCTAAAAATGAATAATCCAACCCAGTCTCATAAAAATACGTACCTCTGGGTGCATTTCTGCAACACCGTTTTTACGTACCTTACTATGTACCTCAAAGAGAAATGTCCACTGAGTGGCGCTAAAACACGGGTTCAATATGTGAACCCTGGCACGTTTTTATTACATTGATATAGGTACGTATTGCTGTGTTTTTATTACGTT